TTGTTCCGAGTTTTTGGAAGTATTGACAACACTGATAGTCTTGAGGATGAAATAAGGACAAGTAGCTTTCCTTTTTAGACTCTAAAGCAATATCATCGACAAACCACCAAGCAAACCCCAAAACAGCAAAATCCTTAACAAATCGAGCCAATTCTCACAACAAACCATCCACTTAATAGCTGACATTACAAAACTATAACTTAAACGTCTTATTGCGTATTGTTATACAAAAAACAAGAAGAAATATGAATGAAAATAATAATAAAAAGCATTTAAAAATCAGTTGTTGTGCAAATAAATAACCGACAAATTTATAGTTATTGCCCTTTCGAGGGAAATGAAGCAGCAGTAGCAGTAGCAGTCACCCCTAGTCATTGTCTGAATTTTATTTCTTACATTATTGTAATAAAATAATGTGTCAAGCTGGTCTTTTGAAAATACAACAGAAAATGTTTAAAATGAAAATTTTTGTGCTTTCCGCTTTTTAGTAGTTTTCAGTTTTTCTAAGAAAAAGTGGTGACAAGTAAGGGAAGCTTTAATGTGATGTCTATAGCGCAGTTTTTGAGCAGTTTGATTATCAGCCACAATAAACGCTCAGCCAGAATTACACTCAGCTATAGAAACTGTCAGTTAAGTGAACGCTCAGCGACAAGAAAGCTTTGCTATAGTGACGGTCAGTCTTAATATTGCTCAGCCACGAGAACGCTCAGCGACAAGAAAGCTTTGCTATAGTGACGGTCAGCCTTAATAATACTCAGCCACAAGAACACTCAGCTACAAGAATGCTCAGCTACAAGAACGCTCAGCCACAAGAACGCTAAGCCTCAAGAATGTTCAGCCACAAAAACGCTCAGCCACAAGAACGCTAAGCCTCAAGAATGTTCAGCCACAAAAACGCTTAGGCAAAGATCCAAAAGTAACATTTACAACATTCAGCATAAAAATAGACCAAACCTCAACAAATTAGTCCACACTACAGCTAACCACCTTAATTTATTCAAGAAACAAGTCCCATCGCTGATTCTTGCTCTCATTACTACATAAAAAATATTCTGCCAGAATTTTTCATCTACTTGACATCTACAGCTACCATTTAGTAGTTTCAAGTTGGTCGGAAGAGCTACTGAAAAACAATGGAACCCAAATAAAATAAAAATAGAATTTCTTTTTAAAAAAACTATTGTACTTGAAAGAAAAGAATATTAAATTTGCATATTTCTATGCTTAAAGCTCAAAAATGAATGTTGAACATGCAATTTTCACGGAATAATAAAAATATCTCGCTACACTTCCTGGTCGCTTCTAAGCAAATGCACAAAAGTATTTACACACAAAAATATATAAAAAAATAAATTTCTTTTCCCCTTTGAGCTCTGCAGTTATCATAATTCACGTAGAAAATGACTAAATTATCTTCATAATGGGTTTTTGTGTTTCGTTTAGACATAAAAAAATATCTTTTACCGACAAAAGCGAGTACAAGGCGGAAATGTTTAGAGCTTAAGTTGAGTAGCGAGCGCACTAAGCTTATGTACATTAGGGATGTACCAAAAAAGTACGCTTAAAGTAGATTTAGCATATATTACTCATAATCGTAGCTATGATTAGTTGTAGCGATGCATAGCGTTCGCTAAGATCAAGCATAGCCTTAGCTACGTCCAGCTTATATAAAACATACTTCAAGCTACGATCAGGCATCCGTGGAGCTTAATACATTTTTAATATACCTTAGATATATTAAAAACCAGTCAAATCTCATTTCTAATCATTTTAATCAACAACAAACACATAATTTACAAAATTTCATTATAAAAGCAATAAATCTGACAATCAGACACTTTCCTATCACCACAAAAAATCCCAAATACAGACCACACCGAAAATTATATAAAGATTTCTTTTCTATGTTACCGAAAAAAAAAGTTGAAATCAATTTTGAAAACATAAATAATTTTTTTTAAAAATAATCAACACAACAAAAAAGATTTAAGTGTAATTTTATGTGCCCCAATAGCGATAACCTTAATATCAAACTCGTTGCTCCACTATAATAAAATATTATATTTAAGTTTCAATAGCAGCAATGAAATTTTAGAGGGCTTTAAAAGATTTGAAATATGAGATGACATTTATGAGTGTATGAGTATGTGCGTATGTTCGTGTCTATTCCGTGATTCAATTTTCCATGTGAACAAGATTTTTTTTTTCTTCTCTTGTTAAACAGAATCGACTTTTTGATACAATAAAGTTTGTTTTGAGGTCTCTTGAGACGATTTTGGAAGAATGTTTGATGGAGTGGTGGATGATGAACGAATCAATTTATTGACAGTTAGAATCAGTCTGTAAGATGCTCGGTGATTCTCAGCTTTAGTTGTGCTCAGCTTTAGTGACGCTCAGATTTTGTGACGCTCAGTTTTAGTGATGCTCAGCTTTAGTGATGTTCAGTTTTTGTCACGCTCAGCTTTAGTGATGCTCAATTTTTATCGTAGCTCAGCTTTAGTGCAACTTAGGTTTAGTGAAACTCAACTATAGTGGCACTGAATTTTAAATTAAGCTTCAGTGATGCTCAGTTTTAGCGATGTTCAGTTTTAGTGATGCTCAGCTTTAGTGACGCTCAGCTCCAGTGACACTTAGTTTAAGTGCTTCATATCCTTAAATTCAAAACATTTTTACAAAAGTGAAGTAAAACCTTTAACAATGCTTGCCAAAAAAAATCCACACAAAATTCCCCTAAAGACTTCAACCGTAAAGACACATTCGCGTATATTTTTGTATAATTTAAGAAACATATGTTCCAACGACATCGTAAAACATTCAAGTTTAAACTTTTCTTTTCATGCTGTAAAAAAAATATTTTTCTCCAATTTCATCGCAATTTTCTGCTCCTAATTTGTCTGTTTGTCACATTTCGTCTGACCTACTTTTTTCGAACTCACAGAAAGAATTGACGATTTATTTAATTATTCACTCATTATGTCTTCAAGTATATTTTTTATTACTTCGACTCATTTTTATTGCTCTAATTTCCTCATAATTTTAAATAAATAAAGTGTTTGCGATGAAAGATTGCGAATTGTTTTTGATGTAAGAATGGAATGCGATCATCATCGTTTGAAGGCAGATCAGATTGAATTTGCGGTGTTTTTTTTTTTGCTTTTGATTCCGGAAATAGCAGAGATGATTTTTTATGGATCTGCGTTGATTTAATTGAGAAATTTTAAAAAGTTTTTGTTTGCAATAAAAATCGCAAAAATGAAATATTTTCAATTTTCTTCTAATATTCCTGTCAGCTGTTTGGGAAAGTAAGCATCACTTGAGGGGACTTTACTTCGTCTATTAAAAAACTTTTCTCACATAAAATTATTTTTTCATAAATAAAAGATGAGGGACGAGTCACAATAAAATTTTATATGATGCTATTTGGAAATTTTTGCATGAAATTGTGCTCTTTTCTGAGCTCACTATAGCTACATGCTGACAAAATATTACACAGAATCATAGTAAAGCATGTAAAGTTCAATTTAAATACTTGAAATGGGTGTCAAATGGCTTTTTTCTATCAAAAAAATAAAAAATTGAGTTAAGCCGAAAAAATTGGCTTCGATCTCTGGTTTTTCGATATATTCCTTAGAAATAGAATTTAAAGGTGGGCTTGTAACTACTAGGTGAGGCTGTGGATTGTTTTTGTTACAAATCATTTAAATAACGATAATTAAAATGGATTTGCACCCTTGAACACATTTTATGGTCTACAACTTTAAATAATCTGCTTCCCAAATCCACTCCCCCCAAAAAAAACCCCAGTAAAAAATATCAATATCGAAAAATCCCCAAATCAAACTAATAAAAGTATCCAAATTGATCTAAATATGCGCCATCAAGCCATGTAATTTAGTGCTTAAATTTTATGTCTTTTACAACATTTTGTGGAACTGAATGAAAAAAGTTTTTGCTTTAAAGAATTTTTTTCATAAACATTTTAATGTGCCTTGAGACTTTTCACATTTCATATTTTATTCCTTCTGTATCTTCTCTTGCTCATTCACTTTCTTCATCTCGTTCACCATCTATCTTCATAAAAAAAATGTTTGTCGATTTAAATCCAAGCAGAAAGCATCCAAAAAAGGGAAAGAAAAATTTTCATTTTCAGCTCTTCGATGTTGCTTCTTATTTTTCTTTCATTTTTATTAAAGTGATAGAGACAGAGGCAGAAGTTTGGTCTCTGTGACATAAGAAACAAGAAGAACATGTTGAATTTGAAGAAATATGAAACGCATTTTGAGTTATTTATAATGAGCGTCTTTCAAGCTGAGCTTATTTCAAGCTGCGCGTCTTTTTGGCTGAATATTCTTTGAGCTGAACACTTTTATTGCTGAGCGTTGTAAAGTTGAGCTTCTTTAAAGCTGAGCTTCTTTAAAGCTGAGCTTCTTTAAAGCTGAGCTTCTTTAAAGCTGAGATTCTTTAAAGCTGAGCTTCTTTAACGCTGAACTTCTTTAAAGCTGAGCTTCTTTAAAGCTGAGCTTCTTTAAAGCTGAGCTTCTTTAAAGCTGAGATTCTTTAAAACTGAGCTTCTTTAAAGCTGAGCTTCTTTAAAGCTGAACTTCTTAAAAGCTGAGCGTCTTTACAGCTGAGCTTCTTTAAAGCTGAGATTCTTTAAAGCTGAGATGATTCTTTAAAGCTGAGCTTCTTAAAAACTGAGCGTCTTTACAGCTGAGCTTCTTTAAAGCTGATCGTCTTCTCAGTTGAGCGTCTTTGAACTTAAACGTTCTTTTCATATCAAAAAGACAAAAGTTTCAAAAACAGCCCCACATCCCCAAAAAGAAGTTCAAACTTTTAAACAATCTTCTGCTTATTTTTATTGCTATCTTTTCTAAGTCCTTTGAAAATTTATGAATTTTTTTCATTTTCATTTCAACATGTAGAAATTTTTGTTTAACTTCCAGGCAATGAAATTTTTCACATTCATTAAAATTCTTTATTTTTCATTATTCTTATTTCAGCACTAGAGCCGCCAAAAATTATTGAGCATCCAATGGATGCAGTCGTGCCGAAACATGATCCCGTAACATTGAAGTGCAAGGCTGAAGGTTCCCCGTCGCCCGTCATTGAATGGTATAAAGACGGTTATCCATTAAAAATAGAACCGGGATCACATCAAATGTTTCTTCCAACTGGTGACTTGTTCTTCCTTAAAGTCGTTCATTCACGTCGTGAGAGTGATGCTGGCGTTTATTGGTGTGAGGCGAAAAATGAACTTGGTGTGGCAAAAAGTCGTAATGCGACATTACAGGTTGCCGGTAAGTTGAAAAATTATTTTATATTCAATTGAATGGGATTTGTAGAAGGTAAAGTTGAAATTGTTCTGGAAATTGGGAAAATGAATAAGATTGTACATGGAATGTCTTGGTGACCCGAGAAGGAATAAGGGGAGTTTATAAGCTTGAAATTCTTAATAAATCTGAGCGTTATTAAAACTCAGCGAAATAAAGCATTTTTAAGGCTGAGCATTGTTAAGGCTGAGCGTTCTTAAAGCTGAGCATTGTTGAGGCTGAGCATGCTTAAAGCTGAGCATTGTTAAGGCTGAGCATTTGTAAAGCTGAGCATGGTTAAGGCTGAGCGTGCTTAAAGCAGAGCATAGTTAAGGCTGCGCTTGATTAAAGCTGAGCATTGCTAAGACTAAACTTGACTAAAGCTGAGCATTTCTAAGACTAAACTTGACTAAAGCTGAGCATGATTGAGGCTGAGCATTCTTCAATTTATTATTTATCTCACAAAACTCGACATCCCCGAACAAAAAATGCGCTCAAATAATCGATTAGACACCATTTCAACACTTTCGATACACTTTTTAACCCTTTTTGACCCTTTTATTCTATTACCCTCATTCTCGCAATCTCTTTTGTGACTTTACTGACTTTTTCTGACTTAAAGGAGTAATATTATATGAGAAAGTATTGCCTTTTCGCACCCATCAATGAAATATGTTCAAAAAAAGGAGGAAAAAATACGATGGAGTGGAAAAAATATCAATTTAATTTATTTTTATACGCTTCCTATTTTCACACTACATCCATCGACTACCATGACTGCCTTCCACCATCATCATCAACATCATCGTAATTTTCGCAATGATATAATATTAAACACATTTTAGATCCATAAATTGTAGCTTGCAATGATATTGATGGGAAAGGTAAATAGTTTTGCTGTTCTACTGATGATGTTGTTGTAGTTATAAATCAATCTGAGAATGCAATTTGCAAGGTATCGATGATATTTTATCGACGAGAAATAAATTTCTTCAATTTAAATTCTCTCCGGCTTTTTTAATGATTTTTCGTTCTAATGGTAAAAATCGATTGATTTTTCATTTGTTGTGCTGGTAGGTGAAAGGTTTTGTAATGTTCCTTTGCTAGAGCAGAAAAATTTAAGATAGACTTTTTTTCAAATGTGTAAGAAGTTGTTGAGGTTACAAAACAGTTATGGAAGTCAACATTTATTATATTATTTAAAAAAATCCTTAATTATCATCTGCTGTCTGCAGAAATTACCTTGAATTAAATAAAGTAGTTAACTATAGATCAATTGCTACCAACAAATCGAAAAAATATGACGAATGATTCCAAGAATTATTATGCTTTTGTCTGACATTTTATTAAGTTCAGCTCGAGACTAAAAATATTCCATCAATAATATTGACCTTTAGTAAACTTATTTTATAAGCAATTCACAATCCCACGCCAATAATCAAGTTAATTGCTCCCAAAAGTTTCTGGAAAATCTTCCTACTCAAAGTGTTCATCTTCTTCCATCAAAAATCCTCCATTAAAGTCAAAATAACTCTCAACTAAAGACAAACATCTTCATAGTGAAAATAGCAAAAAGACAGGAGGAATTCTCGAGACTGCTTCTTTTGATAACTTTCAATTCCAATATAAATAATCATTTTAATTTTTTTTTTATTTCCAAGGAAATTAAAGAAGGAATAAAAATTATTTTTTGTTCATCCAGAGGATACACCAGAGGTGTAGCAAAAATTTTTTTTGGAAGTTTAAATTTTGTGGTAAGGACATTTGAAGGTGGAGGGTAGAGAGATTGGATCTTTTCTCAAAAAACCCTAGCATATTTAAGAAAATTTTCAAAAATAAGGGGGGGGGGGTAGGTGAGGTTGACAACCTAAGCTACGACTCTGACCTCCATCGACACCTTTACCTTGCAATGTCAAAGATTTATCAAAATTTACTGCTAAAATATGAGAAATAATTACAGTTGTAGCTGTTAAGTTACTTTAGCACTAAGAATGTCTCATCCATTCCAGGCTCCCCAAGTTAACACAGTTGGAGCTCAAACATATTAAGTAAGCCAAAAGAAAAATGCGCCTAAAACTATTTTTAAGCAGACTTCAAGTGTAAAAATTTAAACAATATTCCTTCGTTATTTTGACGAGAAAGACAAATACTTTTTTAATGTGCCATCGCAATTACGCACATCACAACAATACCAGTTTCAAAAAAATAACAAGCAGCAAGAAACGTAAGCCAGAGACGAGAAGAGCACGGTGGAAAAAAAATTATGTGACAATGTAATTTATGATTAAGGTATCAGGTGACTTTTATTAAAATTGACACACTTAAGAGTGGCAAAAAAGTAAAGTCTCTGTCGTTCTAATTTTTCCGCTTGGACAACAACAAGAGCAGTCGAAAATAAGAAGAAGACAAACTTTGTTATCCTATAGGGATTTATGATCATAAAACAACAAATGACAAAAGATGGAACGAGACAATATGTATGGCGTCAAGACAAGAAACTTTTTAAGTGGTTTAGGTGTTTGGTTGCAATCTAGAAAATACGTTAAGACGTCCTCTTTAATGCTTCGTGAAGTTATTACATTCATACACCTTGACTTGTATCGTTTCGTCCCTCCTTCCATCAAAAAATTATTATTCTTTTTTTTGTTTCTGTATTTTGAGCTCAAAGTGAGAAAATCTTATGAAGTAGACTACAAAAAGGATGGTCAACTAAGATTAGGAGACATTGAAGGAAATAGAGCGCATTTAGAAATTGAGGTTGTTGACTTAGAATTATGAGAAGATAGCAAGTGGGAATCTTTCTCTGAATTATCCATAGAAATTGAAAAAAATGGTGAATTGAGAGTTGAATAAGTTTTTGTAAATTCTAGGAATCGAACCCATACTGATCCTAGAATTATCTAATATAATAATCTAGCTTTCCACATTTTGTTCTTATTTTCTGAACATTTCACTGTTCATTAAAATGACAAAAATATTACTTAAGGTGCTATCTAAATTCCAGACAAAATGTTTATATTTTCTCCTTACCATCTCCTCCAAAGTACACCCAAATTACATCAAAAAAAACTCACAAAGAACAAGAAGATGTTTTAAAGCAGGGCAACAATGATAATAAATGAATAAGAAAGAAAACGACACGAAAAGTAGCACGGCTTAACTTCAAGAGCTGTGCACGTATTTTTCCATTTACACTACGAACAAAAAAGTGCTAAGAAATTTTTTCCTCCTTCCTGTTTCTGTGTTTGCGACTATAAATCCCATTATGTTTATCATTCATAGGATTAGCATTGGCATTAAATGTTATAAACACAATTTTGAAGATGATGAGTGGAAGTAGGGGATATATAAGGGTGGGAACTGTTTATGTGTGAGTTTTTGAAGAAAGTACCAAGAAACTTGGAAGATTTTTCGATTCAAGCAAGTTGAAATCTGCAAATTATTTGAAGTCACAATGTTACCACCCCTTGGCATCACAAAAAACCCATATGATTCCTTAAATTGGCCTCCATTCACATCTCTATTTATATAGATGAAAAATAATCTAATAATGCAGCAGGTACTTGAGGGAATTAAGTCAAGACGATACATCTTAATCTGTTCCTTTGGATTAATTCTTCATATTTCATATTTATCAAGCATAAGAAAGCACAAAACAATAATAATTATGATTATTAAGACGATGATATTTCAGAGGAAATCATTAAAACTCTCAACAAAAGTGTGAGTTAAGGTTTGGCATTAAAATAAAGGCCTCAAGTAAATGTTCTTACTCATTTTTTGGGGATATTTTCTTTCGGGGCACATAGCAATTAAATGTATATGATGGAGATAAATGTTGATATGCGGAGAGTATTTACTGTCTCATGACTATAAACGTATTCTCATATTTATATTGTGTATAAATTACGAGTGAATTTGGATCTATCCAGTGAATCATATAATTTAATTACGAAGTTAACCTTAAAGATGGAAACATTCCGTCCTACACTTTAATAATGTTTTTGAAGCTGGAAATTTCGGATAGCAGAATAAGGTAAATAAGAGCAGTTTGAGTGAGAACAAGGCTATAAAATGAAAGGTTTTTTTTTTTTGAAAAGCCAATTTAGAACGACTATCAGTAAATTGCGGGATTCAAGCCCGATCGTTTATAAATTCATCCATAAAATTTAAACTGCTTAAAATTGATACTTGCGTAATTCTGGCTTATTTAACCATTTTAATTATTTTGTTAAAAATTAAAGACACAAAGTGTGTATTCAGTAAAGTTTAAAGGATATTTATTAGTATCAATTTTTATTTCTAATTTTTAAGACAGACATTGAGTCTTTTTTTCTATTACAGAACTTAGCCAACCCCCTCTCCCCTCCTCTTTTTACTTATCTAGTGTGAATACGTAATTAACACGTATGAAAATGGTCATCAATTTTTTGAATCGTTAAAGCAGGAAGCGATAATTAATGATGATATCCAGTAAAACTTCAACAAATGCGTTCTAAATTTCACTTAACCTAGAAAAATTTCTTCAAAAACTTATTTCGCTATATTTTAATTTGCAACTTGCTGCCATAAGACTGAATATTATTCATCCACATATTGTTCTTAGTCTAAATACATAATATTCATACGAGATAAATTTATACGTCTGTTCACATTTATTTATGATACACGTACATATTAGTTAAGTTATGAGAAATATTGTAATAAGGAAACCACAAAAGTTTAGTGCGGTTAATAAGTAAGTAAGAATTTCTTATTTTTTTCACAAAGAATAAGCGAAATAAGAAAGATGAGATGAGAAAAGGCGAGAATTAAGAATAAGAAGATGAAATGTAAAAGTTGCTAGATGAGCGTAATTGAGATCGTCATTTTTAGTATGAGTTGAGGTAAGAAAAATACTTGGAGCAAATAAATAAATAAATGTACATTAGGAAGGAATTATTATCATGTGCGGGAGATGAAAAATTAGTTCGTAGATATAGAAAAGTTGAGGATTTATTTTTGAACACAGATTAGCGCGTGTTAGGATATTTTTAAACAAGTAAGAAAATTTACAAAAATAAACTTTTCAAATTTTTCTGTTTTTTAAGATATTTATTTTTTTAAAATTTCAAATTTTTGTAATTTTTTCAAAAAACTTTGTTTAAAATTTTTAAGTTTTATTCAAAAATTGGTTAAACTTTTTTAATTATTTTAAGAAATTTTCGAGACTTCTTGAACTTTTTAAAAATTTTCCAGACATTTTTGAATTTTTTCAAAAATTTTTATATTTTTCACTTTTTAAATTTCATAATAAATTTTATTTTTTGAATTTTCAAAACAATATTTATTTATATTTTTATTAAAAATGTTTTAAAACTTCTTCTAAAGAACTCAAACCTAAAGTCGTTCCCCATCCACACCTCCAAAAACCTTTCTTTCCTCCTCCATAAATCCACCTTCTAAATCCAAAGAACAAGACAAGTAGAAACAACTTTATTATTATTAACAGTCACTGTGTAGCATAAACTAGCATAAGCATATGTATGAACATATTTGAATGTTGCATTTTCATGTTTAATTTAATTTTCATAAAATTTATGGCAATGGTAGAAAAACATTCAGCAACATTTAGTAGAAAAGTTTTAAATTAAAAACTTCATTCATATGAATAATGTTTTATAATAAGCATAAATATAGTCAAAAGTGCTTTTGAGGGAGTTCAGGACTATTAAATGGCGAGCGGTTGGGGAGAATATTTTGAGGTGATTGACAGCTGCTGGGATAGAGTTTCAAAATTGTCAAAAATTGTTTAAAAAAGTTTAAAATTTTAAAATAGCGCGGTTTTAAAGTTTTGTAAAAAAAAACTTATTGAAACTCGTAAAAAATCTGCTCTTGAAGCCTTCTAAACCATTAAACCCCACCCTCTAGTTCAACTCCCAACAAACAATCATCTCAATTTACAGCATTGAGTTAATTAACATTCTGTCTAAAAATATTTTCTCAAAATGTCGAAGTTCTTTGAATTTTGCGGTCAGACAGAGAACTTTAATCTCTCACACTCAGAGTCTTCTTCGGTGTACTAAAATGTATTAAATTTTTGTGGTTTTTGTCTTCATTACATTTCCCATAACTTACAAATACAGGCTATTTGATTTGATGAGTCAAGGTGATTTTGGTATAGATTGAGTGGTGTACGGGTGAATAAATTCATTAATTTATGTTCTAGTGGCAGCAGATGGATGAATTGATGGGTAAGGTGGATTTTGGGTGAATATTGGAGGTTATGTTGAGGTGCAGGAAGTCAAAATTTGAACTGAAATTGATTGAATTTTTGGCGGGAATAATATTAGATTGCTGAATTTTTACTTCAAAGCTCAATTGAGATTGGATGGTGGTACAAATCAAAACTATTAATTAGGGATGTAATGGCAGCACAACAAGCTATTTTTTCATTTTCTTAAATTTTTTAAAAAGCTCAAAATAATTTCATTAAAATTTCCAAGAAAAAACTTCAAACACTCTAAAAACCTAATTTTCCGTAACATTTTACAATAATTTGCCCAACAAACTGTGTAAAAAATAATATTTTAGAAACAGAAATGAAAATAATTATTAATATTTTTTGTTTCACCAAAAAAGCCAGCGCAAATTAAAACATTTTAATTTAAAAGTTTGCCATTTGCTAGGAATAAATCCTCACACAAAATAAACACACGTCTTGAGTTGAATTATGAATGAATTTATTCAGTTAGAGAACTATTAAGAGGTTGAGTGGGATGAAGAGAATAACATATGAGAAGAAAAGTTTGAAGATGTTGGAAGAAAAATGAGTGGAATAAGAAAATGTGGGGATTTGGTGAAGCTAGAGATGTGTTGTCTGAGCCAAATAGAACCTAGGGTATTAAGCCATATGAAGAAGATTAGGCCAGTTCGTAAATAAGGTTTTTATTGCTGAGCAATAGAACGGATATCTGGAACCCTCTTTCATGAGGACCAAGGTTCGATTCTCACTAAAGCCCCATCTTAAACTATTAAAGCGACTACAGAATGAAAGATATGCGGAGGTCTTGTCGTGATAGAATTGTTAAGTATGTTTAAAGGTTTTTAATCCCTCATCGAATTTAAGATTCCGTTTATACAAAAAGTTCATGTGCTGAGACTCCCACTAAGCCTCCAAAACTCAATCACAAAACACAAACAGACTCAGAACTCCGTATAAAAATTATGATTTCACCGATTTCACTCAGTTTCTCAATCACAGACGTTATTAACAACCATCACAAATACCCAAAAGATTTACGTCACATTTATAAGTTTTTCTTCATCTTCTTCTCAATTTTTGATGCTGTGTCTTGTAAAGATTTGTACAAGCTCATATACAGTCACATTATACATTGGAAATAAGTTTTTCTGTGTCTTCTTCTTAGGTTTTGATGTTGGATATATTTTTGGAAAAATAAGTTTGTTCAAGAGTTCTGTTTGCAAATTTGTAGACGATACCCTTTTGGAAGGTGGGAAGGTGTGTAATTTTGGCGGGAAAATTGAAGAAACTTTAAGAAAACTTAAGAAAATCAATAAACATCCTTAAAGATTCTACTAAATCTACCTGTATCATCCACCAACAACTCAAACAGCAACAAAAAAACTCTCAATTCACTCATATGTATCAATTTCCACCAACCAATAGCACATACAGATGAAAAAAGTTTCAATTGCAGTTGAATGGATTGAACAGGATAGCAAAATAAAAAAATAAATAATTTTACCGTATCACATAGACAGAAATAGATAAGCGAGATCGAGTTATATGAATCATCTCACACTACATGTGTACACATTATCCATAAAATATGTTATGAATTTATGATTCACATTCATCATATGATAAGCCGCAATCAATCAATGAATTCAATATGGATTTTTTTTCTCTCTTTTACGTTCTTTTTCCTCTGCCATGCTTTGCTTGTTACCACAAATCCACAATATCATTACAATAATAATGACGTTGATTTCACGCTCAGCTGAACTTGTGGAAATTTATAAATAGAAATAGGAGAGTCCTGATTAGATAAGGATTGGTTTTGAACGCTTCTACTGGATGTGTAAGATGGTCTAATTTAATGACTAAATTACGACTTTCATTTTAAATAAAGCTTATCCAACTACGTTAAAGCTTAGTATTAAGGACATTTGATTATATAAATGCTCAGCTTTAAGAATGCACAGCCTTGATGTTGCACAGCCTTAGGAACGCACAGCCTTAGTTGTTCAGCCTTAGTAACACATATCCATAGTTGCTCAGCCTTAGTAACGCATATCCATAGTTGCTCAGTCTTAGGAACGCTTAGCCTTAGGAACGCTCATCTTTAGTTTCTCAGCCTTATTAACGCACATTATTAGTTGCTCAAAGTAAGAAACGCACAGCCTTAATATTTATCAGCCTTAGTGACGCATCTTCTCAATATTTTTCAGCCTTAGTAAGATCTCATTCATAACGTTTCTCAGCTTTAACGTTGCTCAGCCTCAAAATGTCAGTGTTAAAAGCTCTAACTCATAACTTTAGTTCACAATCTTAACAGACAGAGTACAAACATTTACTCATCAGAAAAAAATCTCAGAAATCCAAAGATAAGACATAGAAAACCTTCAAAATCAATCCATATTCTTTCGTATTCTGTTCTTGATAAATAATACTATAATAAAGAAGAAGAAATGAAAATCCTTTCCTTTTCGCATGCCAACTTGGAATTGAAATCAGAGAAAAATAGCGGAAAAAGAAAATCGAGTCTATTGCCTGTAACAAAACATAGAAAAGAATGGGAAATATTCAATGCTGGATTAATATTATTATCAAATTATATCTCAACAAATTTCTCCTTCCCAAAAAAACAGCTTTTGTTTTTTCTGCTTCTTTTCATGCTCATTTCATACATTACATTACTTATATTTTATTACATGACATGGCATACATAGCATGAAGAAATAGATGAATTAAGTTTGGTGATACTTTAAGGTCTAAGCGCATTCAAAGTTGGGTTCCATACAGCTGTGTTTAGGCTTAGTGTTTGTTACATTTAACAATATTCACTTGCCATCACGCCTCAATCATAACCATTTAACAGTCGAAGTCGCTGGTCACAACAAATAATTGCTTTCAATTCAAAAACGCCAATTAACTCATCACACTGTCTAGACAAACCGAATCAAGTTGTCCACATCGACATCATCAACTCAAGAACACGCTTCAGACAAACATGAAAGAAAGAGTGAGCTTCATGAAAGCTTTATCGTGGTAATCGATATTTACCGTATATAATGAAATATAATAATAGGAAATTTCCTATTGCAATAAAGCAGGAGTAAATGGCACGGGAGGAGGAAAAGAGATGATGTAAAAAGCCACTGAATAAATTTCCTCCTCCTTATTCGTACACAACTTCCTATTCACATTTTTTTTTCGCAAATTGAATAAAGCAATGAGAAAATAAAAATAAAGTTGAGGAAAAATATGGGAATAAAGGAGAACATGATAAGGATATTCCGTGATTTATAAACATAATTTTATTTTATTATGATTTTCATTGTTATTCATAATTTGATAAAAAGAGATTGTGAAAGACTAAACGAGGGAGTAGTCGTGTGGGTGGGGGTTAGGAAATGAAAGCTTCTTGTACTAAGTGGCCTCCATCATCATAAAAATGATTTCCTCATTAATTTATTTCCTCGTCTTTTTATTACTTTCCTTTCAGTTCTTCGAGATGAATTTCGTCTCGATCCGCAAAATACTCGAGTTGCTCAAGGTGAAACGGCAATGCTAGAATGCGGTCCGCCAAAGGGAAGTCCTGAGCCGATTATATCGTGGAGAAAGAATGGACAAACAATGGATTTGACTGGCTCGAAAAGGTAAAGGAATTTTCTTGTTTCTCTTCGTGTTTTTAAGAGAAGAAAAAGAAATCTTCTTTTCATTTATTACCGACGATCCAAGAATGTAATCATTGTGCTGGTCGTAGTTGTACATGAAAAATAATATAATGAAATCAATTTAGATAAGAAGATTTGTAGCTGGATTTTCTGTCATGGCGAGTTGTCATTTTGTCTTTTAATAAATAAATACAGTTTTTTAACCTTAGTTTAATCATATTTTGGTCTTAATTCTTAAGTATTTTACGGTTGCCACTTTTTTCTAGATAATTAGCACAAGAATTATGGTAAGAAAGTCAAAAAGTTTCAATCCTTAATCAAAAAACTTTTCGAAGTGGACAAAAAACTAAAATTATCAAATAAATTTAAATCTAAACTTGTTTATGAACTAAGCATTATTAGTTTTCAATTAATCAGTTAAGAGTGTCTCTTTTTGCTACTAATAATGAAATCAAAAGCGTCAAAACAGAAAAATGCGCCTCGTGCATATCTACCCAAAAATGCCATTCTTACTTACCAATATTTTCTACAATGCCCAGTTACAGAAAATCCTTTTTTATCTTTTTATATAAAAGAGAACATATAAACATACTCAATATTGTTACATCATATCATCAAAATAAAATCTCTTCTATTCTTCTTGTTCTTAATTTCTTATATTGTTGTCTTGAAAACAGAGTTCGCATTGTGGACGGCGGCAATTTATTAATACAAGATGCTCGACAATCGGATGATGGTCGATATCAGTGCATTGCAAAGAACATTGTTGGAGTGCGAGAATCGACAATTGCCTTCCTAAAAGTTCATGGTAAGAATTTTTATTATTTTCTCAATTTTACAAATTGTTACTGAATGTTATGGGATTGTTTTGGTCAGCTGGAATTGCTGGGTAATTGCACTTGTGGTGTATTGAGAGATTGTGTTGTGTGAGACAAATTTTGGGTGGGTTTGGTTTTGTGTGGATGTGCTTTTTGATGGCAATAATGATTAAATGACATTTTGAAATTTGAATATGAAAAGGCCGTTATTTTTTAATGAATTATCTTCAATTCCTCAACAGTCAAGCCATTCCTAATCCGTGGACCTCAAAATCAAACAGCAGTCACCGGCAGTTCTGTCATATTTCAATGTCGTGTGGGCGGTGAGCCATTACCTGATGTTTTATGGCGTCGTACGGCATCAGGTGGAAACATGCCTTTAGGTAAGAGACTCGTTTTGGTTTTTGTGCATATTGAATATCTGTAATTTAATACAGCATACACAAACAAGCTATGCAGCGAATGTGTGTATGCACAGCAAGTTGCAAAAATTGTACAGTCAAGCAGCCTACAATTCACTCAATCTAATTAATTTTCAAGTACACAGGAATCATTGTATGTAAATTACATACATAAAGTTGCATATTTATTTTATCCATGCTACACATCTAAGGCATATAAAAACATGCACATAACAAGCTTGGCTTCTCTTTCTCTCGTTTTTGACCTCTCTTACCGCATTCATTTGTTGTAAATACAATCGACATACATATATTGGGTGAAATTTAATGAGACTTTATGTTGCTTAATGTGTAACTTATGATTATAGGTTTAATAAATTTAACAGCACGCATTTAGTTACGCAAATTGGTTTTAGAGGTTCTGAAGTTGGAGAATATTAGAACTTTCGATTATAGTTCAAGGGGCCGTTCACTTATAACGTCTAGGGACGGAAGGGGTTCCAGCAATAAAAGAACAATTGAAATTCCAGGAAATCCATTGTTCTTTTTGAAAAATATTCATTAATTTCGGAAGTCATAAGTGAACAGCCAATTAGACTTTCTCAACTCATAGTTTAAATTTGACAAAATTTCAAATCTTTTATATGGTTTTAGTAGTTTAAATAGCTCAAACAGTTGAGCAACGTGATTGTGGTCTCAAGTCATTAGTTCGAATCCTGAACGTACTTTAGTGTAGAAGACAGTGGTTCGAATCCCAAACGACAGAAATTAAGATGTTTTCCGAATGGCTATTTCGTTTTTTAAAGAATTTTAATTTTTTTTTTTCATCATTTAAGAAGTTTCGGGTGGTTCTGTAAACTCCTTTTTGAGGAATCAAAAACAAATTGCCTCCAAAATTCAATCATCCAAACCCCCGAGAACCCAATTCTCCACATAATTACAATCAACTCATTTCACTTTATCCTGTTTAATTATTATTATTATTATAATCCTCATAAGATTATTTAATTCCACATATCAAGTTTAACATAATCTCATTGTGTATGTCCAAAATCATTAAGTAATGAGGAAATTTTAATTAAGATTGGATGCATAAATTCCATAGTTTAAATTCCAATGTCAATGACTGTACATAAATGCATACATAAATTTAATTGATAAATATTTCATTACATGTGTGTTTATGTATTCACAGGTCGAGTTCACATACTTGAAGATAGAAGTTTGAAAATTGATAACATTACTATGGACGATATTGGAGAGTATAGTTGTGAGGCAGACAATGCTGTTGGTACGATTGTGGCCAGTGGAATGCTGCTTGTTTATTGTAAGTATTATTTTTGCAGTTTCAAATTTTATTTTTTGGTCGTTCATAAATGACGTCTAGTATTTAGGGAGAGGGGGGTCTGTAGTTTTGTGAAGGTTCTTTAAACAAAACAAAAACTTTGAATAAATAATTTATTACATTTTCAAACGCAGAGAACACATTTTTTAAAAAAGGAGTAAAACTTCTAAAATTCAAGTTAAATGCAATATTGTTGATTTAAAAAAAACTTTAGCATTCAGACCTTAAAGATCCCATAGCTGCGTGTTGTATACGTTACAAAGCTAATGATATTTTAACAAGAAAGGGTTCGCCAAACCACTGCACTCAAACCTAGACCTACAGTTTACAGTGAGAGAGGAGTGGTTCTTCTGATGACATTTCTGCCTGTAGCCTACAAAGGAAGGCTGTGAGCCTCATTTCCAGTACATATGATTCGAAAAAAGACAAGTGATAATTTTCGCCCGCCGAGTCTCGAACCCATGATCGCTGTGTCAGTATTGCAATAATTAGGTACCGAAGTACTAAACCATTCCGCCACCGAGCCACTTCAGCTCACTTAATTATTGTTGATTTAAAAAATAGAATTAATAATATTAGATAATTCTGGATGTTCTAAGATTGTTTCATGATTTCCTTCAAGAATTGTCACTTCAATGTCATTTTCTGAAAATGATTTTAAGCCATAATCATGATCTTCATTGAATACAAGTTCATTAATTGGCTTCACTAATTTTATCGGTGATTTTATGATCGAAAAATCATCCAATGATAAATAATATACTGCCTTTATACGGTTCCTTAACATTGTTGCCATTTTGAATAGAAATTCTTTGGAATAGATGTCAAAATTATGATACAACTCATCAAACTTTTCCAATTTCGCAGCCCAAATTGGCTCAGCTAAAATCAATTTTTTACGGTTGCTAATGTCATTCGGGAAGCTTAGATTTAAGCTTAGACTAATAACTAGTTCTTCGATTATTTGCTCTTTATTTTCTGATTCTGGAACCATCTCATTGATCATTTTTTTGGCTAATCTAGGAGAGCCATCAACAATGATTACATTTCCTGTTTTTCCTAAATTTTCTAAAACTTTAGCTAGTTTTAATGCAAACATTGATCCATAAGAATATCCAATAAACAAGAATGTTGAGTCATTTGCGTACAATTTTGTAACATCCTAAATTAAAAACTCAAAATTAAAATCAATTTTCAATTGTTTTTTTATCAAATATACCTCAATTAAAGCTGCACTCATCTCATTGATGTCACTAATATTCCAAATATTCATACATTGAAGCAAATAAGTTGGGTGTTTAATTTCCATTGCAAGATCTTTGTACATTTTCCCACCAACACCTAGAAATAAAATAAAATTTAATTCCATTTCTAAAATTGAAGAAACTTCCAACTGAACCTTCAATTCCAGGGAATAATAATGCTTTCGTATTGTTATCATCTATTTGATCATTAAGCTTCATTATTGTAAAGTGACTTGTACTTTCATCTCCCAAATTCTTTACAAAAAACTCTAAATTAGTTTTAACTGTTTTTGGAATCTCTTCACCGTCAGCATTCTCAAGGGCTTTTAATTGAGCAACTGTCATCGAACGTAGTTGCGTTGATGTCAATATGATGTTAAAATCTCGTTCTAAAGTTTGTGAAATTTCGACTGTCATTAATGAATCCATCCCAAGTTCTGAAAGTTTTGTTTCCATTGAGACAGATTTCATATCTTTTATTGACATAATTTTCATGAGCATCTCAATGATGCTATATTTTCCAGATGTTTTGACTCTTTTCTCAGCAACAACCATGCTTGCAACAATTGGATTCTCCACAGTTATTAAAGTGTCAAGTACTTCTAAACATGAAGATATTCTTTGAAATAATGTTCCTCCAATTTCCATATCAATATTATTTTCTTGCAAGTCGGCAACAACTCCAACTTCACCTATTGCACCCCATTGAATGGCTTTTGCTGGTAATCCAAGCTTAAGTCGTTCCTCTATCAATCTTTCCATTACAGAATTAGCCATACCATAATTGCTTTGACCTGCATTTCCACGTCCACAAGAAACACTTGAGAATATAACAAAATACTGCAAGGATGGACACATTTTTCTCGAGATATCATCTAAGAATTTGGTTGCATATGCCTTTGGTGCCATACATTCGTCAAATGAAGTGACTGTCTGATTTTCCAAAATACAATCACGTAATTGAAGTGCTAAATTAAATATTCCTCCGATTGTACCAAGCTTGAGAGCATCATTCATCAAAAGTTCACATCCTTCTCTTGTGGTAATGTCTGACTTATTGACCTGAACTTTTACGTCATATGATTCCCAAATTTTAATACGAAAAACTTGATATTGCTTCGTTATTCCTCGGCTTGTACTTAAAATTAGTTTTTTGCAGCCTCTCAATATCAACCAGTCAGCAAGTTCCAAACCAAAACCTCCTAAACCACCACAAATAATGTAAGAATGATCTGGATTGCAATAAACTCTAGGTAGCACTGATATCGGTAATGTTACACTATCATGTGCATCTTCACGAATCTTTAGAACAACTTTTCCTATGTGCTTGCCACTTGCTAGGAGCCGGAATGCATTTTCAACTTTATCGGCATCAAAAACATTTGTTTTCAATGGTTTGATTATTCCTCTTGCTATGTCACCATCCATAAGTTTTTTTAAGAGCAGTTTTTCTTCATCTGATGCATGATACATGCCATCAAGGAAAATAGCGTGGAATGTTAGTTCTCTTAAGAAGTCTCCAAGACTTAATTTATTGTCATTAGCCATATCGAATTTACCAATTTCTAAGAACTTTCCACCTCTACCTAAACACCGAATAGATGCTGCCAATTTTTCTTCAGACAGTGAATTCAGCACATAATCTACTCCTTTTCCTCGAGTTCGCTTCTTGATCATGCTTTCAAATGATGTGTTACGAGAATTTCCAATATTTTCTCGTTTTAAATCAGGAAACTCTTGCAGAAGATAGATTTTCTTTTCTTCTGTACTAACTGTTGTAAATACTTCTAAACCATAAGCAAATGCTACTCGAATAGCTGCCAATCCAACACCACCTGAGCCGGCATGTATTAAAATTGATTTTCCTTTCTTGATTTTGGTTACAATGAAGAAAGCAGCATAAACAGTACAATAAACACATGGAACTGTTACAGCTTCTTCAAGTGTCCAATGATCAGGAACTTCCCATGAGAATTTTTCTGGGTAAATATGAGTTGCCATAGCACCAGACATTTTCATTCCCATAATACGACGTCCTGCATTTGTTATTCCAGCATATTCAAGGCCCATCACACACATTAAATCCATTCTGTTCTCACTCACGGTGTCTATTGATAATTTTCCTGTTGCCAACATGACATCTTTAAAATTCAATGAAGCATATTGAACCTTGACAATGTTATCAGAATCCTTGAAGATTGGACTTTGAAGCCATTTAATTGAAGATAGATCACCTTTAACCAAACTATTGGCAAAACAGGGATCCTTTTGTGGCAAGATTTCATAATTAGGATTGACAAGGAAGTGTTTATAGCTTCCCCATTTACCGTTTCGGTAAACATTTACAGCTAAATCTTTATTAAGCTGTGCTTTATAAAATGGATCATCAATATTAAATGGAGGTGCTGATTCATCATCGATAAAAATACAACGTAAACTATTTCCACTTGGTTCCTTTCTGATGCAATTAACAAGTCCTAAAATTCCTGATTGACTTTCTTTTTCAGCATAAACTAATGTTGGTTCCGTTTTCGATGTTTTCTTTAAAATATCAAGCCACGAATAATTGCGATCAGTATTTGTAATTTTGATAATCGATGTTGGACATGGAAGCGGGACCTTTTTGTACTGCATCATCACCAAAATGTCAATTTCAGTTGGAATGATAGCGACTATTTTAAAATCTTGAGATCCTTCATAATCGTCATAGATTTCACGATCCTTTGATTCCCTCGAAATTATATAAGAATTCTCACTAATGTATTTCTTGACAGTCTCCAAGAAATCAGCATCAAATAAGCAATTAGACTTAATTACAAATGTCTGATTACTAAATGCTGACAATTCTGTATTGGACACAGTTGTTTGGAAGATTTCAATCTCTTTCGATGTTAAATAGTTTAATTCTGCTGTAACAAGAGGAAGATCATTCAAAGCTCTTCCAAAATATTCACACAATGGCTCTTTATCATCGTTCATGTCGATTTCGATGCACGAAACTTTACCAGTAAGATGATTTTCAATTGCCAACTGAACACAAAATTTTCCAATGTCTATTTTTGAAAAGTACGGTGTTGGAAAGTGAGGAACAAATTGATAACTTTCTAGAACTGGAATTCCTTTTGGAGATCGTCGACTAACGGTTTGTCCCATGATATCACCAATTTCTACACCACCGCATTGAATGATTTTCAAATCTGGACAGTATTTTACTTCAAGGACAGGATTCTCACCAAGTTCTGATATTAATTTCTGATGTTCATTAATTTTAATGATAACTTTTTTAATGCCAATCGGAAGTGTTAGTGATCTTGTATCCATTGAAATACCACGGACTTGAAGTATACAATCGAGGAATGCTACCCAATTTGATTGCCATTTAAGTTTTCCACTTGAACCATCCATTTTCGCTGAAACAACTGATCTGAATAAGTTTTTGTGATGGTAACCTCGGAGACGAAGTTCCTTATAGAAATCAGCAGGTTCAAGCTCCTCAATATCATCATTTGGTTCCAAAGCTTCAATTTCAGTTAATTCAGAATTATTACAAGGACGAACAATTCCAGTGACAAGTGTTAAATTATTTTCACTAACTTGAAAATGACCAGTTTCAGGCTGCAACAGCACTGTTAATTTTTGATCTTGATCACTATGAATCTGATATGCTCGAATAAATTTGACATCTTCAAACTCAACATCAAAAGTTGAAAAATTTTCTCTTAATTGACAAGCAAGAGTTTTCCATGCTAAATATAAATATCCTGTAGCTGGAAATATAACATTTCCATTGACCTCATGTCCTGAGATGAATTCAAATTCTGGATCTGACAAGTCAAACACTTTTTCATTAAAGGTTTTGCCACCATATGTTGATACCAGATATGTTTCTTCATGATTCCATTTTATTGACGGTGCAATCATTGGAGTTCCTCGAGAAACTGGAAATTCAATTGGTGGATATAACTTGCTTAGATCTAAATCAATGCCATTTTCGAAAAGCTTTCCAAGTGTTCTATAAAGAAGCATTGAACTTTCATTACTCTTACGATTAGTCAGACTGAAATGCATTCCATCAGGTAAAGTTCGTTTCATAATCGCTTGCATCAAGCCATGAGGTGCAATTTCAATAGTAAGAGCATTCTTTGGAAGATCCTCACAACCTTCTTCAAACAGTACTGGATTTAACAAATTATTTGTATGATATTGATCTGATGAATATTTGCCTTCGATTGAGTTCCACTCACTTTTTGGTACGCTTGTTGAAATCCATTTCTCTGAACGTTTTTTAGGCATTGGAATTGTTAACTTTAATGATTTTTTTAACTTTGTACCTAAATCAGCTATGTGTGAGCTATGGTACGCAATATTTGAACATTGAACTTCCTTTGCAAAAATATTTTGTTCCTTTAGCTCTTCGATAAATTTAGCAACAATCTCAGCTGGTCCTGAAATCGTGCACGAGTCCGAACTATTGTGACAAGCAATTTCAATTCCATCCATAAGCAATGATTTTATTTCTTTATGTCCAATTCCAACGGCAGCCATTGATCCGAAAATAGTTTTTGTTTGAATGGATACAAGTCCGCGCCAGTATGAAGACAAAATTATTTCCTCTTCCGTAAAGCAATTGTCTGCATATGCACAACCAAGTTCACCAAATGAATGTCCAATGATATAATCTGGTTCCAGTCCGACTGCTTTTAAAACATTTGTCAAACCAATTTGAATTGCAGATATGCCAACAAATGAGTGCAAGATATTGTCAAATATTGTTGGATCATCTGATGTAATGATTTTGATTAAGTCAAGTCCTTTTTTGGCAAGGATATCATGACATCTTCGGATAGAGTTCTCAAAAATTGGAATCTTCATCAAATCAGCGCCCATGCCTGGCCATTGAGATCCCATTCCACTAAACATCCAAACTATTGGTCTTTTTTCTTCAGCAAAGTTGTCAATATGACGTTCAATGCAAGTTGCATTTGACAAATCAGGTTCTTGTTCAAATAATGCATATCCACGATAAGTATTAGATGATTGAGTTGAAACTTGAGTGTTTTGAAGAAGTGCAATATATTCAGCATCAAGTGGATTCTTTGTGACACTATCAAATATTGTATTTAATGCTTCTTCAGTTCTGCCTGACCAAAATAATAGTCTTGGAATGTCATCTGTTGGAATTCCGTTATTAACTTTATCTTTTGAATGCTTTTGCAATAAAATGTGAGAATTTGCACCACCAAAACCAAAGCTATTGACACCAATCAAGCTTCCTTTAAAATCTTGTAATTCTGTAACTGGCTTGATTCGTCCAGCAACTAGTGATGGAATGTCTTGTCGAACTTTTTTTAAATTAAGCATTGGATGAATTTTTCCATTTTCAAAAATCAAAATAGATTTAATAACTGAAGAGCTAAATGCAGCAGCTTCTGCATGGCCCATATTTGATTTCATTGATCCAATTAACAGTGGTTCCTTACGATCAGCACAAAACACTTTGTCAATCGACATGCATTCTTCTGGATCTCCAATTCGCGTTCCCGTACCATGGCATTCAATGTAATCAACAGTTTTTGGATGAATTCCGATTTCTTGATAAAGATCTTCAAATAACTTAGCTTGTAATGCTGCTGAAGGAAATGAAAGGCCTTCGTTCTTAAATCCATCGACATTTGTTTTGGAATGAAGCACAGTAGCATAAACTCGTTTTGCATCCTTTCTTTTTTGTAAGAATATCGTATTGACTGACTCTGAACGAACATAACCATGTGCAGAGTCATCAAATGGATTACAAACTCCGTCCATGGCGAGCACTCCTAATCTAGAATTGAAAAGAAACGAATTATTTTTGGATCCTTAAATCAACCATATTTAAGAAAAACTTACCGTGCAAATTGAACTGATGACGACTCACCAGTAATAATATTACATCCGCCAACAATAGCAGCTTCACATTTGCCACTACAAATAGCACTATAAGCTAAGTCTAAAGCATAACCGGAGCTACTGCAAGCTGTATCAACCAGCAATGATGGACCTTTTAGATCCAACGAAAATGAAATTCTATTGGCCAGCAAAGAACGAGCAGACCCAAGCATTCCCATGCCATCTTTTGAAATGTCATTGTAAAGTAAGTAATCATCGGCCTCAACCGTACAGCATCCAATGAAGACACCAGTTCTACTTCCACGAAATTGTTTTGGACACATTCCAGCATCTAAAATAGCTTCGTAAGCATGTTCTTGAAGTATTCTTTGCTGTGGATCTGTGAACATAGCCGAACGACTATTAAGCGAGAAAAAGTTGGCATCAAACTTGTCAAGATTGCAAGTGAATCCATTACAACCCGGAATATCGTCATTTTGATATTTAAATCTTGATTTGCTGGGTTGAACCATGTCTATTTTATTAAGCAGGTTGTGGTTAAGTTCTGCTACATTGTGTGACTTTGGAAATCTTCCAGCAACACCTGAGATCACAACCTCATCATCTGGATTCACTTTAACGAGATATTCTTGTCGACTATGAATGCTTTTCATATTTTTCTTCGATTAGTTTTATTCTTCTTGAAAATTTACTTTTGTCTTCAAACGATTGCTGAATTTTGTGATTAAATTTCCAATTTTACGACGTTTTATAGTGCGCAATAATCTTTTTACCTAATTACCAATTGAAATTAATTAATTAAATCATTAAAATTAATTAGCAAAATTACTATCTGATAAATTCAATGTTTATCAATTACATAGGAGGTAAACATTGGGTTATGCAAATAATTAGGGGCTAGTTTATAAGGCTACAAGGGGTACCTTACTCTAGTCTAAGATAAATTTTATTTTTCATCAGATTTTATTTCTTTGATAGGATGCCCCTGAATACCCTAGCAAAATCAAGCCCAACTTTTTTATTATAAAAATTGATTTTTGATTTGTTGGCATAACAAAATTATAATATTTGATTAATTCATCAATTTGTTTGACTTAATTGTCAACTTAGTATGCAAACTACGATCAATGAATCATATTGAATAAATCGGAATTTTTACTAAATGAGTCAAAATTACGCACTTATGTTCTTCGTTTGAGTAATCACTTAAGTAGTTCAAAGTTGACCAGCGAAACCTCACTTCCTAACTGTGGCTAATGTCTTACTAGTTGTATCAAGTTTAATTTAATTCATTTGTGTTTTGATTTTTTTAAAAAAACAGCGTTTTAATTAGATTCAAAATTTATAATTTTGTTATAAATTTAAGTTTTTAAAAACTTTAAAAACTTAAATTTTAAAATATAATTTAAATTTTATGAAACCTTTAAATTTTAAGTTTTAAAAATACCCTTAAAAAATTTAATTTTCAAAATAAATCTATAATTCTATAATTAATATTTTTGCAGCACCACCATCATTCACACTACGTCCAAAGTCACAAATTGGAGAACTAGGAAGTGAAGTCATTTTTGAATGTCAAGCGACCGGATATCCAGAGCCAACTTTATTCTGGACAATCGAAGGTAATCGATCGCTCATCTTACCAGGAATGAAGCTTAAAAAAAGTGAAGCAACATTAACAGCCGATGGAGGCAGTCTTTTATCAATTAATGAGATTGACAGAAGTGATAATGGAAAGGTTGTTGTGTGCAGTGCTGTAAATAGTGTTGGAAGTGTCAGCACAAGAGTTGTTTTGTCAGTTAATCTTCAAGATGATTCACCACCTCCACAAATCATTCAAGGACCTGTGAATCAAACATTACCGATTAAATCTGTTGCATCGTTGCCATGTCGAGCTATTGGAACACCAAAGCCAGTTATAAGCTGGTATAAGGATGGAATTCCAGTTGCTCAATCTGATAAAATTACAATTGAGGACAATGGATTGCTGACAATAACAGAATTGAATAAAAATGACGATATTGGACTTTATACGTGCGTAGCAAGCAGCAAAAGTGGAAAATCAACATGGAGTGGGTTCCTGAAAATTGAAAATCCAACAAATCCAAATATCAAGTTCTTCCGAGCACCTGAACTATCGACGTTCCCCGGCCAACCAGGTATGGAAAAGTAGAGAATCAGAACTTTCTAAATTCAATCGACAAAACAAACTTTTTTTTCTTTCTTGCTTATTTTTTTTTCATTTCCATTTCCTAATGATTTTCATTCATTTCACCTTCTTTATGAAAACTTTTCTTCTTTCATTTTCTTTCTTTCTTCTTCCATGAAAAAAATGTAATTAATTGAAAATATAGTTTGCTGTATTTTTTGTGTTGTGGCTGATGTTCTTTAGCTAATGATGGGAAGATAATTGGGGTGTTGACGGTATAATGACTGATTGTCTGATTGTTTCGTAAAAAATTGCTCAGTTCTACTTAGAGTTGCTCACTTTTCGTAAAAAATTGCTCAGTTCTGTTTAGAATTGCTCACTTTTTCGTAAAAATGACTAAGTTTTGCTCAAAGTTGCTCAGTTTTGCTCAGTTTTGCTCACTTTTCCTAAACTTTTTTTTTTAATTTCCCCAAATATTCGCCTAAAATCCATCAATTTCCTACAAATTATTCCAACTTTTCCGGTTTTTCATTATGAAAGAATTTCTTTGTGTATTTTTTTCGCTTCATTTTCATTTTTTTCGTACTTTTGATACCCTCCAGAAATGAAAATGAGAAACTCACAAAACAAAAATAGATCTCGTTATGTAAAAAAAAACTGTAAAAAGAAAAGAAAAGCTCAAAGTTTAAGACAACCAACAGAGAGAAAATATATACATTGAGTGGAAGTAAAGGAAAATACACGTGAAAAAGTTTTCAGTTAATTACACGACCTCAGTTGAGGCAACAAAAAAATGAACTTTTTTTTCTTTATTTTTATTTCGTTCATTCATATCAGTTTGGTTGTTTCTTTTCATTACTTGTTTTTTCGGGTTGTATGTTATTCTTTGCTTGTTGGAAAATCAATGTTTTATGGTCGATGGATGGAGAGGAAAAATTGGTAAAAATTACTTTTGTTGAGAAAGGATTGAGAAGTTTTATGGATCAGTTGTGGAAATTTTTAACTTTGTTTAAGGTTGCTTACGCATAGTGAGCTTGGCAGAAAGCTAGTAATTTTAAGGAATGTCTAGAGTCAGTTTATAAGATTAACATAGGTACCCAACCCTAGTAACAGACCAAAAATGCTAGAAACCCACCCTTGGATCTATACTGTTCCTCATTTTGTTGACTACGCCCCTTTTTCAAGCTTTAATTCCAACAGGTTCACCCCTCATGCCTCACAAAAATTGAAAATATTTAAAAATAATTAAAATTCTCTTTCTCTTTTCATTCCCACCTTAAAAGGCAAGCCACAAATAATTGAAAAGACTGACACAAGCATAACATTATCATGGATCCGAAGCAATGCAATTGGTGCTTCCAGCTTACTCGGATACACGCTCGAAATGTTTGCCAGAAACTCGACAGATGGTTGGGTGCAAGTTGCCAATCGAATACAAAATACAACGTACAAAATTATTGGATTAACGAGCGGTGCTTCTTATTATTTTGCTGTACGTGCTGAAAATTCTCATGGCGTTTCAGGACCGAGTCAATTGTCGGAACCAATTACAATTGGAGTGGTAAGATACAATTCTTATTTTTAAATGTGTATGATGATGGAAAGAAACAAACAAAAAAAAAGTCATGGAAAGAAGACTTTGCATTTAATTACTTTCGTAGCTGCTGCTTCTTCTTTTTTGAGAAGCAAAAAACGTGAATTTTTGTGGAGAAGCACAGAAAAAAGTTTGGGAATCGAGCTACTTACTGATACAAAAAGTCATTTATCTTAGTCGCTGTTTAAGTCCTTCTTGTGTCCTTTTTCTGTAATCTTCTTCTTAATTTTCTGTCAGTGACAAGACTTTCTCTTGCTGTCCACAGTTCATCAAAGCAAATTTAAGAGATTTTTTCAGCCTTGTCATTTTAGTAGCTACTTAAGGTAAAGGAGTTCTTAAATGTGGCAGCTGGATTACCGAAATCTTTAAGCTGATTCACTTAAGCATTATAGTCTAGCTGGTGAAGTTATCAAGTCGCAAGCGTCCCTACAAAATTTTTATTAAATAAGATAATGAAAACTTTAAAGCTACGACCCTAACTTAAGAGTTGTTCATGTCCTAATGCAGTTTAAGTCACAAATTGGTTTATGTTGCTTATGTGCAGTTTGGGTTTTAAAAGACACATAAAGTTGCTTAAGAACATGGAATGATTATGACATTACGTAACACAAGGACTAAGCTCAAGTTGTCAGATTAAGAACAGCCCCTTCTCGCAATTTATCAAACAACACTTGAACCTTCTCTAAAATTCCAAAACCCTCAAAAAAATTATCAAAATCCAATTACACTAATTTTAATTACCCAAAATATTCATAATCTCATCCACAACTCCTAATCATGGCTATTAATCCTTCACGAGCTTCTCATGGTCAATATGAAATTTCTTCTTTATTTTATCGTTGATAATGAAAAACAATTTGTTACCCTTCCTGCAAGAAAACAAAAAAATAATTTTTCACCCTCAGCACGACGACAATATAAATAGAAACGACAAGTTTTCAAGCAACTTGAAGCACAAAAAAACAATGAAGGCCCCCTCAGCCTGTCGTACTTCCAAATACAAAAGAATTTCTCTTCTGTTGTGCTCTTATATTTCAGTTATTCATCATTTTTTTGTGTGTGTATCAAAAAGTATCCCATCAAGTCTGCTTTATAGTCACAATTCAGTTATGAATAACTGTAATTTAATTAAATTATTTTCTTAATTGTAACAATTTTCCAGCCTGAATGCATAAGCAAAAAGGGGATGATAAAAAAATCTCATGAATTAAAAAAAGGAAAACAATGGACTAAGGATAGACTTTGGTGTGAGGAAGGAAAGGGATAGAAATGATAACAATAGGATGGCGATGAAGGCAGAATCTTTCAAGATTCTTAATCGATAGATTACTTACGGTATAAATAGGAATAAAAAAGGCAGTGGATGAATGGATAAGAATAATGAGCAACGACAACAATAATTTAAAATATTAATTTCATCATAAGAATCTGGATGCGTTGTGGGGGGACTGTTGGATATAGGAAAATATCGAAACAATAAAAATTGAAAAGACTGGAATTTTAAGATTTTAATAAGGATGATAGAATTTAAGGATAAGATTAGAGATCAATAGTCAAAAATTCTTTACATAATTTGATGGAAAAAAATTAAAATTGAAGAATTTTCCGACTGACCTACATAGATTTAGATGTTAATGTCTAATAAGGGAATTTGAAGAGCCGAATAAACATCAAATAAGCTTCAGTTTAGTGATTTCATGCAATGTGTAGTAAAGCCAGTGAACTCAACACACTCCTCCACATTTTGATGAATTAGAACAGTGATTCTCGAACCTTTTTTACTCCACGGTACATTTTTCAACTTAAAAGTTTTCGTGGCACACCTGAATAGTCTCGCAGCAAAGTAAATGATTTTCACAACTATTTTAAAGTCATAAAACCTGACCTTGATACGGGCAGTCTAGAGTGCCGCGGCACAAAGTTTAAGAACCACTGATTAAGAAGCACACTTGAGTCCAAGTCAGTCATATTTTGGCTTATTTTAGGAGTTATGAAGTAGATTAGCTCTATATATTGAAACTTTAAATCTCAGTACACTAAAGTGCTGTAACACTCAGTTTTAGAACCACTGATACAAAATCAGGTAACTTCGTCTAGGAAAAACAATCACAGACAATCTTACTTTAATATTTAAATGGGGTTTGACTCGATTTTGTCAAGTTAGAGCAGGACGAGTTTGAATGGGACTATTCATTAATGATGTCCCAATTTGGAATAAGAGAATGTTCTGCTTGTACAAAAAAAATATAGCAACTATGCTATATACAACACAAGCAAATTAAAAAAATCAAGTACCCCTGGCATCACCTCAATTCCTATAAGCATATAAAAATCAAATTCACTCTCCAATGCCTTCAGCATCATCATTAATTTAGCATTCATTAAAGCCACATCCAAGTTTCTTTGTTTCATTCAAATCCTCCGGATGTGTGCTCACCAATCCATTGTTCTTTTCCGAAAATCTGATGAGCTGAACGTAAAAGTTTTCATTACAATGAAGCCCATTTTTTTTCGAATCCCAGCTGAGTCGAAACGAAACCAGTTCATTCAATTTTTCACTTTATTCACGCTCATTACTTTTTTTTGTGCTCCTTCCGCCGCAGCTTTTTTCATCTTTCCTCTGAGCAGCTAAAAAAAAATTGTACAGAAACATCAAAAGGCATAAAATTTCCTTTTTTTTCCTTCCATTTCATTTTACAAATTAAATTAATCATTTACATACGTACCCTCATAGGATGAAATGAATACAGATTTGGATCTAAGTGAGGCACGAGCAAGTCTACTGTCGGGAGATGTTGTTGAGCTAATTAATGCCACATCTGTTGATTCAACAAGTATGAAATTATTGTGGGAGGTAAGAGAGTATTTCATACACATTTATGTACAGTATAAAAGATGATTTCTCATCCAGCACCAGTCACGTAATTTAAATATTTAATTCATGCAAAAAAATTATTTTATTTTATATTTTTTGTGCCATGCTTGCAATTCCTCATCATAAAAAAAGATAATAAATGGAAAATATGTTGAAGGATTTTACATTTATGCGCGCAACATCGATGATAGTAATGAACATCAACCATCATCATACAAAATGCTGACTGTTTTAAATGCAGGCAGTGGAGCATCATCATGTAAAATTAGCGGATTACAGAAATTTACCACGTATGAATTTTTTATTGTGCCTTTCTACAAGGCTGTTGAAGGCAAACCATCAAATTCACGAACAGCTCGAACGCTTGAGGATGGTGAGTATTTTTTCACAATTATTTAAATATGAGTTCCTTTTTTGGGAAGCTTACACGCAATTATTCTTATTCTACCTCCCAAAAAAAAAAAACAATTCAGTTCCAAGTGAGCCGCCATCAAATATGGAAGCAAAATTGCTCAACGAATCGACAGTTTACATTAAATGGAGAGCACCACCTGCCAAATTTTATAATGGTGTACTAAAATCTTACAATGTGATTGTACGTGGCGTGAATATTTATGAGAATATCTCCAAAATTCTCACAAACATAACAATTGACTCAGCGAGCTCATCAATAATGCTAGCAAATTTAACGGAAGGTGTTACGTATACCGTGAGTGTTGCGGCCATCAATCGAATTGGTATAGGACCTTACAGCACACCGGCAATTTTACGACTTGATCCAATTACAAAACGACTCGATACATCGTTTACTTATCGTTTCCCATTAAATAATGATCACATGGATGACTTTCTCACACAACCTTGGTTCATCATACTCTTGGGAACAATTTTAGTCATTATGATGCTATCGTTTGGCATCATGGTGTTCATAAAACGAAAGCATATGCTCATGAAGCAATCTGCATTCAATGGTCTCGCAGGTAAACAAACATGAAAGCAAAATAAATACTAAAATGGAGCTTTTTATTCATTTGCAATTTCCGGCATGAGAAAGTTTGAAATTCATCATAGTAATTATGTATGAGCTGTGCATTGCCTTCTATTTGACATTTGTATGCATGCAAACTTGTGTACATTCTCATTTTCTATGATTTTTATTTATCTTTGCTTTGACGAAGTTTAATTTGAGTTTGAAAAAACAGGATAAAAAGTTTTTTTTCTATCAATTTGGAACTATGAAGTGGGTATTGGGGTAATGAAGAGTGTTTAGAGCAAACATCAAAAAATTTAACCATGTAAAATAAATCTAAAAAAGTTCATTGGAAATCAATTTTGTCAAACCACGTGGTCCACTTAAATAAATTATCGACGACTTTTCTTAATCTACATGTTTGAGATTGGTTTGAGATACATGAAATAAGTAAGACTTAACTTCTGCCACTTTTTTCAACAAGACTGAATCAAAGTTTTGCACAAAATAAGTTTATTTAACGTAAAAAATCAAAAAAAACTTTTCGAAATGGAAAAAATTTCGAAATGGCGGTTCTAAAATTATTAAAAAATAATTATATAATTTTATTAAGAAATTCTTATAAAATCTTTCAAGAATATCGCCTTTTACAGCCTTATTTAAAATCAAAACCACATCATCCTCAAAAATACATGATAAACTTCCATTTATACATCTCTGATTTCTATTTAAATATTGATTTTCTCCTCTCGTTCTGTGGTAAGAGAAACTAGCTCAGTATTTTTTGGGTAAATGAGATAACAACAAGTTTTACTCTACATTTTTGCTCCATATTTCCATTTCGACAGAAGAATTATTTTTATATCCCAGACTAAACTTCTTCTCCTTTTGACTTGTTGATTTAAGTGACTTTCCGGAAATTTAATTTTCAACCAGCATAAGAGTTGTTATTTCAAATAAGAAATTGAATTTAAAAATAGAACATTTCTCTTCTTTAATTTCAATGAATAAAAAGGACCAGCAGCTGGTGGTGCTGTAAAAATACAAAATGTGCCTGGAGGCAACGATGGGTATTGGTTAGATCCATCCGGAATCATATGGCGTTCAAATCCTCGATCGAAGGGGAGTCTTATTGCAGATTATGCTCCAGTTTGTACGTCAACAACAACAACGACACTTCCGGTCGATGAAGAATCGACTGCGAGAGCTCGGTAGGATATTTTTTTCATTCATTTTCATTGTTGTTGAATATGTGAGAATATTTTTTATTTCGCTCAATGATGAACATAAAAGTGAACTTTATTAAATATTAAAACGATTTATGAAGCGATGTTGGAGAAGATTTTTTTTTCGATGTGTATTAAAAAATTGTTAACGCTTTTTATGCGAATGAGGAAAGCTCTAGATGATTATATAGATGAAAAGAATTGGATGTATTTATTTTTTCGAGGGGGGTTAAATTGAGGGTATATGGATATTGTTGAGTGATATTAGCACATTATCTTGGAAGTTAAAGCAGAGTTTGAAAGCATTTAACTGTCTGTCTCGATGACTATCAGTTTTTATGTGCATTTGTTTACTTATTTCTGTCATGTTTAGTAATATCGTCAATCTGTATCAATTCCACTATCCACATCACCTCTAAGCTTATAGAACAATACCCCTACCAACTATTTGCTTAACTTCCATTTCAAATTCAAAAATTCAACAAATATTTCAAAAGTGCAATTTTAATCATCATCAAACAATCCATTCCAAAGCACAGTTAACAGATTGAACAAAATGTAATAAAAACATTTTGAAAATCCAATAGAATTTGGATGATAGTCAATGATTATTTTATTATGTGTGTATAACATAAAGCTTCTGTACTCGAACAATTCACTCGACTGTTCATTAAATTTTCAACATTTTTTTTCTGTTTCTTTTTTTTGACTCATTGCCAATAACACGAAAATAATTTCTCTCTTATTGTTTTAAAAATATATATATAGATTCATGGGAGAATACACAGACTATCCGGCAGATTATGCTGAAGTGTCATCATATCAAAGTGGCCAGCAATCGCCTGCTCCATATGCTACAACAACATTAATTGGCAGCTCAAAACTCGCTTCAAATGATTCACATCGTTTCAACAATATGTTTTACAAAACAGACATCTATCCAAATGCTGCAAATGCTGTTGCTATGATGCAAAATGGCAATAATAATAACAACAACAGCAATACTAATAATTACAATAGAAGTATACATTCAGAATCATATTGCAATAATAATAATAATAGTAATAATAAAATAAATATTGTTGAGAATCGCATGGCCAACACAATGATGCCAAATATGTTTAATCAGCACCAACCGAATGGCATTAAAATGTCCTCAAACAAACGCAATCGACTGAAGCTGATGAAGCCGCAAAGCATACGAAATTATTTTAGTAATAGTCCAAATGAGCAGTTGTATGTGAAAGTTGGTGAAATAAATCAAATTGGTCCACATTCGAATTCATCACAACAATCACATACGCCGCAGTCGACACAGAGTGGCTCCATAAATTGGAGTCAACATAATTTTAATATTTATGAGAATCAATTGCATAATCATATGAATGGAAGCGCTACAATGACTAATGAACCTGATCGTAATGATGTTGATGACGACGATGATAATAAAGAATTTATTTATGATGGAAATCATAGTATAATGAGCTACATGAGCTCAAAAGATTTTCCTGAGAATGTGTAGAATGAAAAGGATTGTGCGGAGAAGAAAGGAAACTTGGAGAGAACCTGAACAAAATGTGAAAGGGAATTAAATTGTTGAGTGAATTTTTTTGCATGGAAAATTGGGTCATGGAGTCGGTTTTGTTGACTGTTGTGGCCGTTGCTGAGGAGAATAATTGGCTTATGGACAGAAAAAACTGCGTGCATGTGCCATGGAGATTTAGAAGAGTTCATAATAATACACATAAAGTCATCCATGCAACAAATGCGCTCAAATATTAATTCATCCCAACAAGCATCTTCCTTACCTATTATGTGTCTTAGTGACTTAAATGAGAAGCAACAAAACTTTTAATCTCCACGTCAATATGTATGTAGAGTTGAGAAAGAAGAAAAAAAAAACACAGCAAAAGGAGCTTAACAACATAAAAAAGCTTTTTTTCATTTCTTTCATTTATTTCTGTTGCCATTTTTTTTTCTTCTACTTCTTTTCTCATTCTATAGAAACCTAATTAATGTAATTCGACACTAATTATTTCCCCCACTCCCCCGTTTCCATCCACATTTTAAATGGCTTTGTTCTTGATTTTTCCTTGTGCTTGTTCAACCACAGTGAATGAATGCAAGCACAATGCGTTCTTTATGTTCATTTCTGATACTATAAATATTTTATAAAAATGCTATAAGCGGGATGCATTATCTACTGAGATGTTGCTTCAGCGTGCTTTCGCAATTGAAATCTCATTAAATAAAAAGAAAATTGAAATAATAATCATGATGAGGAAAATATTGCTGTTTCTGAATAATGGAGAATTATGGACATTGAGAAGAGATTTGCTGATGAATTGTGGAATCTATGAGGTGGAGGGGAAATTATTCAATGCTAATTAAAGAGCGTTTTCATAAAGTTAAATCTGGAAATGGCTTTTAATTTGTTTTCAAGGAGAGATGATGCAATGAAATTGTGGCAAATAAAGCTATATGGTAAAGGGACGATATCAGAGGTTTACCTCTTACATCTGGATTTACTCAGATCGTTCTACGAAAGTGTCGAAAAACCAAAGTACAACGTTAAAGTAAATTTTCTGGTATTTCTCAAAAATATGGAGTTTAGTCATGCTCAGGCCAATTTTGCAGTTACAAACTTCAGACCCCCCTCCAACTTCTGTGTGTCATTTATGAACAGCCCTTGAATAAAAATCCTTTATCGACACCAATTTAAGACTAGTGACAAATCTAGTACAGAAGTAAGCACAGGCGCGTAGCCCCCTTTGAGAAGGCGCGTGATAACAGAACTTTCTACATTTTGCTAGGGTTTTCATAAAAATTACTACAAATCCCAAACTCCCGCATAAATTTTCCATATAAAAAATTGCTCCCTCCCACTATTGCTGACTATTCCCTTTGGGTAGACAACCTTTTTTGTGCCAAGGCACATTTTTGTTGGTAGCAAGCCATAACCAAAACCAAGTTTGTAAGATTTCTCGATTTTTCAAACTAGTGTGCCGCAACACATAGGTAGTTCACTAGGCTTGTGTCCAAAACCCAGATTGCTAATCACTGCTCTAAAACTTTAATTTTTCCATCAAAACGGATGCCAATGACCAAGAAAAATCAACAAAAAACTGCTTCACATTTCTGCATCATAAATTATCTCTCAGAAAAATCACTTTGAACTTCCGAATTCACAGCAAAAAAAAAAGTCACAACCTCTCTGTCACCAACAATAATATTTATTTCATCTTCTACATACGACAAAAAAGAATCAAATAGAATCTTAGAGTTTCACAACTAAGTAAAAGCAAACCGAAACTCACTCAAACGCTATTAACGCAACTCCATCTTATCAATTATTTTCTAAAAGTGATTTATGAGACATATTAATTACTCAATAAATCATATGAATATATACATAGTGACAAGAGGAAATAAGGGTCGATAAGTTGAAATTTTTTTCTACAAAAAATGAAACTATTTGTAAATAGAATATGTGAAATTTATTAAAAGTGAAGCGAATGTCGTAGAAAAAAAATATTTAAAAAATTAATCAATTTGATCATTTTCATGTCTTTTTTATTATTGAAAAAAATTGCTCAATTTCTAGTCGAGAAATTCATAAAATGAGTGCTCATTGGCTTACAAGCATATTATTTTTATTTTTTAAAAAAAAGTAAATATCAAAAACTGATGGCAGCAAATGTCACATAAATTATTCTATACACAGATAAAGAGCGTTAATTGAATTTTAACTGAATGAATGAATGTGAATGTGCGACACAGAAAGTGAGAATGAATGAATTAAAAATTAAAATATAAAAAAAATGATGTAAAATGGAATTTTTTATTACAGTGAATTTAAAATTATTATTGGGTTGATGAAGAGTAAATGATGAAAAATTAATTAAAAATGGTTATTTGATGAATTAATGGAAGTAATGTATGGAATAAATTTTCGAAATGGCTTTGTTGATAATTGTTGAAAGAGTTTTTGGAATTAATGGTCGAATTGAAAAAGGGTTTTTTTTGGGGTCATAAATGGTTTTAAAACTTACAAATTTAACTTAAAAACTTAAAGTTTTTTATCATAAATTTTCAAATAAAAAAAAATTAAATTTATTTTTTTTTAAATAAAATAAATTTGATCTTTCAATTCAATTCAATTTAAAAATAAAAAAAAATTTAAATAAAATTTGTAACTTTTAACTTAACTTTAAAGTTAAAATATATTCACAAAAATTGAAAATTTTGTGTGAATATGAAATTTAAACTTAAATTTCTTTGGTTTAAAAAATCTATTGCTGATTTTTAAATGATTAAAATATTTTTTTCATTTTTGTTTATAAAAATTTTAAAATGCTCCAAATTAGAATTTTTAAAAAATTTTAAAATATATCTTACAACTAGAATCTAAATTTTTAAAAACAATCGACCATTTATGACCTCCTTTAATACCCCATCTGCCAAAAATAAACATTTCATCACATTTTAATGACAATTTATTCTTCACTTCCTGAATACTTAATTCATACTATTTTTATTTTTATGTCCCAAAACGAAGAAAAAAAGTGAATATCAACAGCAATAAAATTGTAAAGTATATAAAAATAATTGAAATTAATGAAAATTATTTCCCTGTAAATAACGACCGTCCTTTTTTGTATATATGAAGCTCTTAGAATAACAATAAAATTTAGATACATAATTTAGCCTTCGAGCTGTATTGAAAGGAAAAAAGAATTGAGTAAAAAGGTGTAAAAATAAAAATAAAGCTCAATAAAAATGTTTTTTTGAAAATGAATGTTTGTTGTTTAATTTTAATAGTGCTAATGCTATAATGAGGTGGACATTAGGAACATTTTTTAAAAATCCGCTAGTAACCTGTCAAAAATTCGTTAAAAATCTGTCAAAAATCCGCTAGAAATTAGCCAGAAATCAGTTAAAAATTTGTCAAAAATCCGGTAGTAATCTGTCAAAAATCCGGTAGAAATCTGTAAGAAATCCACAAAACTGAAGAAATTAGCTAGAAATCTGTCGAAAATCCGCTAGAAAATTTTCAGGAATTGAGTAGAAATCTATCAAAAATCTGCAAAACCTGTCAGAAATCTGCTAGAAAGCTTCAAAAAACACTAGAAATCTGTCAGAAATCTTCAAAAATTCAGCCTGATTTTGCTAAAATTTAATCAATGTCCGCTGTGAATTTCATCAATAATCTGTTAAAATTTTGTCAAAAATCCGATGAAACTCCTAAAACATTTAATTAGATTCTGCACAACCCCCACACGTGAACCATCAACTTTAATCAACTTCTTACATCAAGCAAAAAGACATCAGCATCAACATAATCACAAAAACTCTCAAAAAAAAAAATTTCAGGGCAATTAGGCAACGGGTTTGAGTCATAAAAATGAAAATCTTTTAATGATCATTTATCTCATCGAGTGTCTAATCATCCCATCTCATTCACTGGCTAATCCCCAAACGATTTGTTTTATGTCAAGTGTAAATTCATCAGTCTTACTTTTTTATGATGTTGAGATCAGTTTAATGACGAAATGGATGAAAATTTTAGGCAATAAAATCAGAATGAACAATTGTTTTTTATTTTTATGATTTTTTTTTCTTTCTTTTTTTCAGATTAAGTTTCAGTCGTCGGATGTTGTTCTTTTTTTATTGGCAATGTTTTGCAATTTTATGGTGATTTGTCTCAAGTTTTGTAAGGGTTATGATGGAAATTTTTGAGAATCTAGGCTGAATTGTCACTTGATGTAGCTTAAAATCAAATAATTGTGAATCTTTATTATTAATTTGAATTATATTTCAATTTTTGTCAATACATACCCTCATCAGCCTATTAAGTATTTGCTTGCTCATATCTTAACTCACAAAACAACCTCAAACCAAAGGAGGAAAAATATTCATGCAGAAAATGAATTTGAAAACCACAAGAAATAAGAAGATTATGAAGACACACATGAAACACTTCAAACATCAAACAACAATGAACAAAAAAAATTATTTTCCTTTTTTTTTGCTTATTCTCGTCTTCTTCTATGTCATATTCAAGAACCGACCATGCTTTTGTCATTTTATTAGGTTTGGGATTAAAAAAAATATGAAATTCTTTCCTGTAATCTCCTTTTAATCTTTCACACATTCAACAGATGCTGGAAAATGTTTTCTGAATGCAATTATGGCATGTTTCGGAAATTCTTTGATTACTGATCATACTCAATGTGTTTGGAGTCATTGATTGTGGTTAGGAATAATCGGAAGAAAGGATTATTATATAAAAACATTAGTCATCTTCTTAGATTGTTTACAATAAGGTTAACTTGTGCATTAACTTTTGTACTAGAAGCAACGTTAATAAAAACACTTAGCTGCAATAAAAAATTATCATTATTTGACTTACTTAAGGTTATGCAATTAAGTGACACATATAAGATAATGACGTGATAATGAATTTAATAAAAATTATTCAAGTATGTTTATCACATGATGATATTATTCCCAGTTGTTCAAGTATTTTACAAAGAATAAAACAAGAATTGGACCAAATATACTCTAAGACAGCACTCCCTCTTTTCCTTTACAACACCTCCATGGAGACATACAAGTTGCTATAATTAATATTATAAGTTTGATCCAATTATTCTTTAACGCAAACGTAATAAATTGGTGTCTTCAGACACTTCTGAGCTACTTTCTTTTTAGATAAGAAACGTAAAATGTGTCATTTCTTGCGAACTATTTGTGCAAACTGCTCTCAATAGATAAAAGCTGTTTGATTCTTTTTAATTCATAAGTAGGGTTACCATCTAATTTTCATGAAAATACAGGACTTTTGGTAAATTTTTTCGAAAAATACAGGACATATAGTAAAATTCGAAAATTAACGGAAATTTTCGTGAAAAAAATACAGGACCTGGAACAAAGTTTTCAAATTTATACAGGACAGGGTTTTGAAATACAGGACTGTCCGTTGTAAAACTACGCAGATGGTCACCCTATTCATAAGAAAAGATAACTCTTGAGCAAATAGCTGCTGTATAAAAGCCACTTTGCATGTTTTAAACATATTCAGTCAACATTAAACCACCAACTCGAATTAGCTGCAAAGTATGGATTTAAAAATTATTTTTTTATTTTTCATTAATCTTGGCAATATTTTTGCTCAAAGTGAAAGTTTGAGTTGCACATACTTAAATGTAGGAAGTACCTACACATGTAACCTCAAACTTATCAATACCAGAGGACTTAACAACTTCGCAACAATCACTGGGACTCATTTATCGGGCAGAAATGACAACTATGTTTTAAGTGTCACTAGTGTCGCTGGTTCTGTGTCTCCAAATATTCCATCAATAATATGTAATAAGTTTAGAGGCCTTCAAATGATTTCGATGAACAACGTTGGAATTAAAAGTTTTTTGATTGATGGATTGAGCTCATTTACTTATTGCAACACAACAACTACTATTGAGATCTGTAACAATAAAATTAGTGAAATAGATGAGAGATCCTTCATGTATAACGTTGGTCTATTAGAATTAAAGCTTTGGAATCTCGGGCTGACTAATTTGCCAGAAAAAGTGTTTCATAATTTAATAAACCTACAAAAATTACATTTACATAAGAACAACTTTACAAGCTTACCTAATAACTTATTTAGGTACCTTAAGAGGCTCTTAATTTTAAATCTTAGTGATAATTTTATTGTGACCCCAAATTACAAATGGTTCGACACCCTTATAAGCTTAAATTCCTTTTACATTGATAATAATTTGATTGAGGACCTCCCGACTGATGTGTTTAGCTCATTAACAGACTTAATTTACATTTCAATGTCTGGTAATAATTTGACAATCTTACACTCTGATCCATTTGGAGTTCTACCAAAATTAAAGACAATCCAAGCTATAAATTGTCAACTTAAGGCAATTGATGAGAATCTTATCGATAATACTGGAACTACGCAAATATCACTTACAAATAATACTTGTGTTAATGAAGTGATCACTGATTTATCAGGTTCGAGGTACTCAATGAGGATTATTTTAGCCGATTGTTTCAGGAATTATGCAAAATTTATGGGACGTAAGTAAATGTTCAAATCTAACCTTACTAAGGTTTTGTTGAGTTTAGTCATACACAGTCTTAGCAAGCCTCAAACTTTGAGTTTATCTGAGTGACTTTAATTCTCAAATATTCTAACAGAAACAACAACTACAATGAATCCTATTACAACTGTGCCTACAACAACATTCTCTACAACAACATTGCCATCAGGATGCGTTGGTGGAAATGAAAGTCCAAGAATCTGTAAACTTGAAGATAAGAGTCAACAATTGTCTTCGAATTTTGAAAGCTTCATCCAGGAAATTGTGAATTTAAAGAATCAAAATATTGTTATAAATGAAACAGTTCAACAGCTACAGGATCAAATTACTGTGCTGACAAATCGGCCGTGTTCGTGTGCCTGATGTTCTTAATTTATAAACGCTTATTTTGAATACTATCTGCGAATATCCTGGTTTAATTACTTTTATTATTTAATCAACTAGCAAAAACCAGTTTAAACCACCAATAAACGGAAGTGTTTACTTCTGATAGCCATTATCTCATGTGATAAAAATTGTTATTACTTTTAACCACACATAACAATAACATTGCAAAATACGGCAAAATACAATAAAAATAATTATCAGTCACCTTGACTTTGTTATCTTTATGACTACTTAAGTCGCATTTCCTCGATTAAAAAAGAAATTTTAAGTGTGAATTTTGTGCAATTGCCCCATTTAGATAAAGAAGTTTGATAACTTATTATAAATAAAAGAGATGAAGTCACAGCAAATGAGGAAATTAGTACTTTAAAGATTTTGTATATAATCGAGTAAATGTTCTTGACATTCATTCAGTTAAAATAAATCTACCAAATTGTGCTGCATTTTTAAAATGTTTTTTAAAATTATTTTTGTGATTTTCTTAGTTTTTGCTAATTTCACCGAGATTTTTGGTCAAGGTGAAAGCATGACATGCACGTATGCATTAGTCAGTAGTGTGTACACATGTAACCTTAAACTTAACAACACCAGAGGACTCAATAACTTTGCAAACATCGGTGGAAATCATTTGTCAGGAAAGAATGACAATCTTGTGCTAAGTGTAACTAGTGTCGCTGGTTCATTGTCTCCTAATATCCCCTCAATTATTTGTGCTAAGTTCAGAAATGTGCAAAAGATAACAATGAATAATGTCGGAATTAAAAATATTTTAATCGAAGATGTTAGCTCATTTGCATATTGCAGTTTAACGTCTTATATTGAGGTATGCAATGATGATATCGGTCAAATTGATGAGCGATCCTTCATTAATAATCCTGGTCTACTAGAACTACGTTTATGGAACTTAAACCTGTCGACATTACCTGAAACTGTGTTCTACAACCTGATAAATCTAGAGAGGCTCTATCTTCATCAAAATAAATTTGCCACTCTACCAACCAACCTGTTCAGATACCTCAAACGACTTCAAACTTTAAACTTACAAGAAAATTTCATTGTAACTCCAAACTACAAATGGTTTGACACATTAATAAGCTTGAAAAATCTATACCTAGAAAGCAATTTAATTGTGGATCTCCCAGCTGATCTCTTCCGTGAGTTGACTGATTTAGAGACGATCACATTGTCCAATAATAACCTCACGATTTTGCACTCCGATCCATTCGGATATTTACCAAAACTAAAATATTTTTCACTAATCAATTGTCAACTTGAGGCGATAGACGAGAATCTTATCGACAATACTGGTGCAATACAGCTTTCATTGACTGATAACTTTTGTGTGAATGAGACAGTTATTGATAATTCAGCTACGAGGTACTCAATGAGGATTATCTTATCAGAGTGTTTTGATAATTATGCGAATTTGGTAGGACGTAAGTATGCATTTAGTTTATTACTTAAGAAAGATAGGGGTCATTCACTAATGATGTCCATCATTTAAGGTTGCTAAGGTTTTGTGATATTTAAACTTGCTTTAAACAGTAAATTGATTCTAATAATTAATAATGTTTTAATACATCAAATGTGAACGACATCATACAATACAAATTATTATTATTATTATTATTAAATGTAAAGATCAATTTTAAATAAATAATAACATATTCACAGAAACAACGACCACAATAAGCTCAATAACATCGACAACAGCTAATCCAAATTTACCACCAGGATGCATTGGTGGAAATGTAGATGCAAGGATCTGTGAGCTGGAAGATAATAACAATAAGTTGACTGAAAATGTTGAAGATTTAATGAAGAAAAATTTGGAGCTGGAGAATCAAAATAAAGTTTTTGCATCAATGTTTGAGAATATGCAAAGTCAAATTGATGAATTGAAAAATCGACCATGTTCATGTTTATAAATTTTTATGTAATTTATTCAAATATTTTAATTTCAAATTTTTATATTTATAAACTTTAATTTATTCTATTACTAATATTAGTGTTTTTAATTTCAATCTCTTCATTTATATCTGAATCTTCATATTCTGATGAATATTCTGATGAACAATTTTTGCAGATTATCAGAGTTTTCATTCTGTTTTAGCTGGGTTGATAACTTGTTTCCTTAATCATCTTCGTAAATCACGTCTAATAAATAGTTTTGGCTTTTAAGCTAATAACTCGTCCACCATCCTCAAATGTAGCATCTATTAAAGCCAAGAAGTTTCACAATGTGCCGTTTTTAGAAATATTAACAATTATTTTATTTATACCTTATTTACGTGTGAATGTATTGTTATTGTTCAGATTGAAAAAATCAGTTTTACGGATTTCATCAATAATATAAATTTTCAAAAATTGTTTATATAAACGAAGATTTTCATCATGTTTATGAATTCTGTTACACTGAATTATTAGAATTAGGATAGTAGTCAGAATCGTTTTGAAGGGGACAGGAGGTTTGGGATTTTTTCGTCCAAAAACCCTAGAAAACAGAGGGAAGGGTGGGAGGGGGTTGACCCTCAAAACCCTCTTTGGCTGCGCTCTTGATTAGAATTATCCAGAAGTTTAAATTAATCATTTAATTTTGAAACAAAGTATAAAGTGATGCGATAATAGCATTACCTTAGCCAAAATCTACCAGGTGTGATTTTGACTATATAATTAGTATCAGCAAGTTTTAAAATTATTTCACTGAAACATCAAAAAACAGTTTTATTCATCCAAATTTATTTTACTTGATAGCCTCCGTGTTGAACAAAAAAGAGCTGTTTTATTTATTTAAATCAAGGTGTGAAAACTATCCCAAATATTCCATTTATCCCATATATCTCAAAAATATTCAAAATAATTCCTGAGCCTGTATGCAATAGAATTGAGATATCCCATCATATTCTGAAATTGCACGTCCAATACACTGAGGATAAGTTGGGATATCTTTATTATCGTGCATACATGCTCAGGAAGTTTTTGAATATTTTTGGGATACTTACTTACTTCGCTGGCCGTACAGATCAATTGTGATATTTTTGGGATATAAGGGATAAATATAATTTTTGGGATAGTTTCCACGCTTTGATTTAAATATTTAAAATTTTTAAATTCTTAAATTAATTTATTCAATTAACTCATTAATTTATTATAAAATCTTGTTTTATGTCTGACATCCCTTCTTTGCACATAAAGTTCTTCCAACTGAAGAACAGAAGCACCAGTTGCATCCTTGTTTCCACCTTGTACCAGGAATGCAGCTGTTGAACTTTTGCTGTGCCGGATTTAAAAGTATAAGCTGATCTTCAATGCGTTCTTTAGCATTTGCACGGTTGTCTACAAATTGTATTATTTTAAGATATATGTTACATAATCTAGATGATGGTAATGATGTGGTTTAATTGATTTTTTTTTATTTTACAAACTTACAGTTTATTAATCCAATAAAAATAATTAAAACAACAAAATAATAAACTTTCATTTTTATAATTTCTTAAAATTTCAAAAATAATAAATTTTCTATTAAAATGCACAAGATTAAGATTAAAAATAACTTAATGTCAATAGTTCGCGTTAGAAAACTAGACTGAACTATTTGTTATTATATTCTCAGTATTTAAACAAAGAGCATAAGAATAGAAATCATGACGGGTGAATTAATAAGAATTTCTAAAACAACTTATGGTTTGTATCTAAGTCTTTGGTAATTCTATATCCATAATTCTGAAACTAGTTTTGCTAAAGTAAGAATCAATAAATAAAGTTAAATTTTGGCATTCTACAATCGCATTTTCTGTTTTTTTATTAACTTATCGGAACTTTTGAAAGTCATCTACATTCTTAAAAGTGTCACGAATATTTTATAATTTAACCCACTTTAAAGATTGATCATTTCGGAGAAATTGTTGATATATAAAGTTTTCAAGAGAATATCTTTCAAGGGCAATTGATAAAATTTTAAATAGACCTTGTTAACAAACAATTTGGTTGATTAATACAATTGTAAATTTCATTATCAAATTTTATGGGCATGAACTTTAAATTGTGCTTCCCCGTTATATAATAAATGAACTTTGTAAGAAAAGATAATAATTGGCGTAAATTAATCAATAAATTGTTATACTTGAAGTAAGTGATAGCAAGTTTTGTGTTAAGTTTTTGTGTTTATTGTGTTAAGTTTTGTGTTCAAAATTGAATCAAAATGAAGATCTTTGCAGCAGTTCTTATGTTAATGACCAATTCTAACTTGATTCTCGGTCAAAATGAATTTGCTAGATGTGCTTATAGACTTTATAGTAGCTTGTATTATTGTGATTTTACAATTTACAACCCTCGAGGTGTCAACAATTTCCATACGATAAATGGCACACATATTACAACTTCTTATACTGATGCCCATGTTACCACGGTAAACAACTTGTCTGGGTCAAAAACTACGGTTGTACCAACGATAATTTGTGAAAAGTTTTATAATTTACAAAGAGTGTCATTATGTGATTTAGGAATTGAATATCTTAATATGGAGAATGATATTTCATTTAAAAAGTGCGCTAATATTTTGTTTATCGAATTGTGTAGAAACAATATAACTGAAATCCCTGAAAATTCATTTGTTGCGAGTACAAAACTACAAGAATTAAATTTACACTTTTTACTATCAAAATATGAATTTTATTTTATTTTTCAAATTTTTCTCATAATACTAATTGATATTAATATGAAACATGTGCTCTTAGAAGAAAAAAAACCGTTTTTTTAAATATTTGAATAATAAATTTTTGCGGAGGATTTAAAAACAAATTATTCGTTGCAAATTCTGATTTTTTTTATTTCCACTTCATTTATTGATCTTAAGAAATTAGTCTAAAATCAACCAGTAAAGTAGCGCTTGACTTAGTCAAATCATCATTTTTTGGACCAAGTTAGCCTCATTTATAAAAGAAATCTAATACCCAAACAAATGTCATTGGAAAGCTTGAGGGAGACGATGTACCTCTTCCATCCGTTTATCATTACTTTAGAGATATGTACCAGAAGTTTGAAGGCAATGTGGATATTCAGGTGAAAATAAAGAACAGACTCAACTTTTTGTACACATCTAGTATGGGATTAGCATACTTATTGACTCCTAGACATGCTGCGACAGGATATTTTTTTTAGGACGATAAAATTGACATTATGAGTTCGGTAGAGGAGTTTTCATGTGGCTTATCTTCGGAAATTGCTGTAAGGCACAAGAACAAATCATATCGTTTGTTGAAGAAATGTCCATGCTTCCGCAGAAAAAAAGAGATTTCTTGTTTAAAATGTCAGCAAGAAACTATTGAAATAGCATTGGAAAGGAAAAGTATCCAGAACTATCCAAAATAGCACAGCCGATTAGTGATATGATTTGTTCTTCAGCTACTGTAGAAAGAGTGTGGTCACAATTGGATTCATACATTCGCGATTAAGGAATAGATTAACAAATGAACGAGGAAAAAACCTTGTTTTTATATACACAAATAGTTTACTCTTAGATACGTTTGATAAAAACGATTACATTGCAGAGGATGGAGCTTTTCTAAGTGAAATGGAATGTGAGGAACTAATTGATGATTAGGTTAACGTTTAACGTTTGATTATTATTTTTGTTAATATGAATAGTCATTATTTTTGCTAAAATAATTGAAACATTCAAATTATAACGCCCAGTATAACATTAGAATATAGTTTATATAACAGTTTTTGTCATTAACTATTAATGTGTTATAAATCTTTTTTTATTATTCATAATAATAAAAGAAACATAAAATGCTGTTAACTCTCTGTTATTATCTACATGCGCATGTACATGCGCATGCATGCACATGTATGCGCATATTTTAACATGCACATGCATGTGCATGTCATGTTGGCGAACCCTAGAAAATTTCATTGTAACTCCAAACTACAAATGGTTTGACACATTAATAAGCTTGAAAAATCTATACCTAGAAAGCAATTTAATTGTGGATCTCCCAGCTGATCTCTTCCGTGAGTTGACTGATTTAGAGACGATCACATTGTCCAATAATAACCTCACGATTTTGCACTCCGATCCATTCGGATATTTACCAAAACTAAAATATTTTTCACTAATCAATTGTCAACTTGAGGCGATAGACGAGAATCTTATCGACAATACTGGTGCAATACAGCTTTCATTGACTGATAACTTTTGTGTGAATGAGACAGTTATTGATAATTCAGCTACGAGGTACTCAATGAGGATTATCTTATCAGAGTGTTTTGATAATTATGCGAATTTGGTAGGACGTAAGTATGCATTTAGTTTATTACTTAAGAAAGATAGGGGTCATTCACTAATGATGTCCATCATTTAAGGTTGCTAAGGTTTTGTGATATTTAAACTTGCTTTAAACAGTAAATTGATTCTAATAATTAATAATGTTTTAATACATCAAATGTGAACGACATCATACAATACAAATTATTATTATTATTATTATTAAATGTAAAGATCAATTTTAAATAAATAATAACATATTCACAGAAACAACGACCACAATAAGCTCAATAACATCGACAACAGCTAATCCAAATTTACCACCAGGATGCATTGGTGGAAATGTAGATGCAAGGATCTGTGAGCTGGAAGATAATAACAATAAGTTGACTGAAAATGTTGAAGATTTAATGAAGAAAAATTTGGAGCTGGAGAATCAAAATAAAGTTTTTGCATCAATGTTTGAGAATATGCAAAGTCAAATTGATGAATTGAAAAATCGACCATGTTCATGTTTATAAATTTTTATGTAATTTATTCAAATATTTTAATTTCAAATTTTTATATTTATAAACTTTAATTTATTCTATTACTAATATTAGTGTTTTTAATTTCAATCTCTTCATTTATATCTGAATCTTCATATTCTGATGAATATTCTGATGAACAATTTTTGCAGATTATCAGAGTTTTCATTCTGTTTTAGCTGGGTTGATAACTTGTTTCCTTAATCATCTTCGTAAATCACGTCTAATAAATAGTTTTGGCTTTTAAGCTAATAACTCGTCCACCATCCTCAAATGTAGCATCTATTAAAGCCAAGAAGTTTCACAATGTGCCGTTTTTAGAAATATTAACAATTATTTTATTTATACCTTATTTACGTGTGAATGTATTGTTATTGTTCAGATTGAAAAAATCAGTTTTACGGATTTCATCAATAATATAAATTTTCAAAAATTGTTTATATAAACGAAGATTTTCATCATGTTTATGAATTCTGTTACACTGAATTATTAGAATTAGGATAGTAGTCAGAATCGTTTTGAAGGGGACAGGAGGTTTGGGATTTTTTCGTCCAAAAACCCTAGAAAACAGAGGGAAGGGTGGGAGGGGGTTGACCCTCAAAACCCTCTTTGGCTGCGCTCTTGATTAGAATTATCCAGAAGTTTAAATTAATCATTTAATTTTGAAACAAAGTATAAAGTGATGCGATAATAGCATTACCTTAGCCAAAATCTACCAGGTGTGATTTTGACTATATAATTAGTATCAGCAAGTTTTAAAATTATTTCACTGAAACATCAAAAAACAGTTTTATTCATCCAAATTTATTTTACTTGATAGCCTCCGTGTTGAACAAAAAAGAGCTGTTTTATTTATTTAAATCAAGGTGTGAAAACTATCCCAAATATTCCATTTATCCCATATATCTCAAAAATATTCAAAATAATTCCTGAGCCTGTATGCAATAGAATTGAGATATCCCATCATATTCTGAAATTGCACGTCCAATACACTGAGGATAAGTTGGGATATCTTTATTATCGTGCATACATGCTCAGGAAGTTTTTGAATATTTTTGGGATACTTACTTACTTCGCTGGCCGTACAGATCAATTGTGATATTTTTGGGATATGTGGGATAAATATGATATTTGGGATAGTTTCCACGCTTTGATTTAAATATTTAAAATTTTTAAATTCTTAAATTAATTTATTCAATTAACTCATTAATTTATTATAAAATCTTGTTTTATGTCTGACATCCCTTCTTTGCACATAAAGTTCTTCCAACTGAAGAACAGAAGCACCAGTTGCATCCTTGTTTCCACCTTGTACCAGGAATGCAGCTGTTGAACTTTTGCTGTGCCGGATTTAAAAGTATAAGCTGATCTTCAATGCGTTCTTTAGCATTTGCACGGTTGTCTACAAATTGTATTATTTTAAGATATATGTTACATAATCTAGATGATGGTAATGATGTGGTTTAATTGATTTTTTTTTATTTTACAAACTTACAGTTTATTAATCCAATAAAAATAATTAAAACAACAAAATAATAAACTTTCATTTTTATAATTTCTTAAAATTTCAAAAATAATAAATTTTCTATTAAAATGCACAAGATTAAGATTAAAAATAACTTAATGTCAATAGTTCGCGTTAGAAAACTAGACTGAACTATTTGTTATTATATTCTCAGTATTTAAACAAAGAGCATAAGAATAGAAATCATGACGGGTGAATTAATAAGAATTTCTAAAACAACTTATGGTTTGTATCTAAGTCTTTGGTAATTCTATATCCATAATTCTGAAACTAGTTTTGCTAAAGTAAGAATCAATAAATAAAGTTAAATTTTGGCATTCTACAATCGCATTTTCTGTTTTTTTATTAACTTATCGGAACTTTTGAAAGTCATCTACATTCTTAAAAGTGTCACGAATATTTTATAATTTAACCCACTTTAAAGATTGATCATTTCGGAGAAATTGTTGATATATAAAGTTTTCAAGAGAATATCTTTCAAGGGCAATTGATAAAATTTTAAATAGACCTTGTTAACAAACAATTTGGTTGATTAATACAATTGTAAATTTCATTATCAAATTTTATGGGCATGAACTTTAAATTGTGCTTCCCCGTTATATAATAAATGAACTTTGTAAGAAAAGATAATAATTGGCGTAAATTAATCAATAAATTGTTATACTTGAAGTAAGTGATAGCAAGTTTTGTGTTAAGTTTTTGTGTTTATTGTGTTAAGTTTTGTGTTCAAAATTGAATCAAAATGAAGATCTTTGCAGCAGTTCTTATGTTAATGACCAATTCTAACTTGATTCTCGGTCAAAATGAATTTGCTAGATGTGCTTATAGACTTTATAGTAGCTTGTATTATTGTGATTTTACAATTTACAACCCTCGAGGTGTCAACAATTTCCATACGATAAATGGCACACATATTACAACTTCTTATACTGATGCCCATGTTACCACGGTAAACAACTTGTCTGGGTCAAAAACTACGGTTGTACCAACGATAATTTGTGAAAAGTTTTATAATTTACAAAGAGTGTCATTATGTGATTTAGGAATTGAATATCTTAATATGGAGAATGATATTTCATTTAAAAAGTGCGCTAATATTTTGTTTATCGAATTGTGTAGAAACAATATAACTGAAATCCCTGAAAATTCATTTGTTGCGAGTACAAAACTACAAGAATTAAATTTGTTTGACAACGGTATAAAGAATATTTCAGATTATGCGTTTATTAATCTTTATAACTTGACAACATTACGGCTTGATGGCAATCAAATTGTTAGTTTATCATTGGACTTATTTAAACCATTAGAAAATCTAAAGATGTTAAATTTAAACAATAATAAGATCGTGACTTTAAAACTTCAGTTGTTTCAACACCTTAAGAAGTTAGAAACTTTACATTTACAACGAAATAAAATAACAACAGTCGTTAGTTTTGATGTAGCTGTTCCAATATATTATCTGTATCTAAATGAGAACTCTCTCAAGAATCTACCAGAAAAGGCTTTTAACTTCTTTCAAAACTTACATACACTTCATTTGCATAACAACACATTTGAAGTTATTCATTCAGATGCATTTGCTAATATGCCAAATCTCAGAACAGTTCGATTTGACAACAATAAGATTAATGCTTTTGATCCTTACTTTTTCAACATAACTGGTGTTATGTATTTGAATATGACCAGAAACTTGTGCGCAAATGAACATATTTTTGATAATTCAACATCGCGATTCTCAATGCGTGTGATTCTTGCGGACTGTATTGAAAATTATGAAAATATTGGGGTAGGTAAGTTTATAAAATTTTTATTAAGCAGTTTTCAGCTTTGCTCTTCTCATCTAAACAGTAACAACAACTAACGTAACACCTTGCAACACTTGATTCAAATTTACCAGAAGGATGCAATGATAATAGTTATGATGATTAAAAATGAAACTTACAAAATCAACCAGAAATTTGAATAAAACAATTTAAAGCTTAAAATGTTTTTGAAAAACTGTTTTTTTTTTATTTTTACTTTCAATAAAATTACAATTGCAGCTTATAAGGGGTCGTTCACTTATGACGTCCGATATTTACGGTCATTTTTCAAAAAAGAACAATGGAATTCCAGGAATTTCTACAGTTCTTTTCTTGCTGATTTTCGTAGATCATTAAGCATAATTAAATGTTTACAAGTGATCTATTGAAATGTTACAACTCACCCAAATTAAGTGAAAAATTGAAAAAATATGTTTGAAAATTTTGTATTTTTTCACGGATGAAGACAAAAAAAAGCTTTTTTATAACTCGATGACACAAGGAAATTTTTCAAAGAATTGAAATATTTCAATAATTATAACTTAAAGCATATGGAAAAGCAACTTAATTAAAGATTTTTGCCTGTTCTATAACTCAGTAAAAGTTATTCAATGTGGATATCAATAGTTTTCTCTAATTTTCGATTCTTCGGATGGTGAAAATTGAAAATTCCGATTTCTGTCATCGAGTTATTGTCTGAAGAATCCAAATAACTTCGATTTTTTGCTGAAAATTTTCCAAGAGTCATCCAAAGAATTGCCCTTAAATAAACCCAAACTCTTTAGGATGTCATTAGTAAGCTTCCTTTTCGAAAACAAGTTTTCAAAAATGCGTTAAAAATTGGTAATACTGCAATAGGAATAGTTTAAAATTGGTTTGGGGAAAAACATCGTAAAATTATAATAAATTTACGTGGAATGAATTTGAATTTTCAAAGTGAACTAAAACTCTAATACCTATATAAAATTATATATAAATGGATAAGATCTGATCATATAAAGTTTTAAGTGGCTTTCATTGTTTGTTTACTTTCTTGCAGATATCAGTTAATCATTTTAGCAAAATATTTGAGATGCCAAGATTTTGATGTCTAAGTATATATTATCTAAACTTGGAATTTGAAATTGTGCTTCACATTTTTAAACGGATGTAAGCATTTGATAAAATATTATTGCCACCTCTCATAAATGCAATATTGTAATTGAAATTTATTTCTGAAAGATTAGCAAAATTATAATCTATAAAAGAACGAGGAATTATTAATTTATTAAACATTTCAAATAAAATATTAATTGAGTTAAGGTTTCAGGCAGAATGAATTCCAAAGGAATTTTTTTGATTTGTGCATCTTTAATAAACTTTACTGAAGTTTTTGGTCAGAATGAAGTGTTGGAGTGTAGCTATAGATATAGATATAGTTATCCATATGAATGTAATTTAAAAATTTATAATCCAAGAGGACTTAACAATTTTTACACGATCAACGGAACACATTATTCTAATATATATGATAAAGATGTGAAAATAGTTAATAAATACTCAAATGTTTATTGGAATTCAACAATAATTCCAAGAATACTTTGTGATCGGTTTATAAATCTTGATCGAATGGAGTTAATTAACCTTGGAATTAAAAACATCAACTTTTTTGGGGTTGAAATTCCATTTGAAAAGTGTACTAATTTGACGTATTTGAACTTATGTGAAAATAAAATTACTGGAAGCGATGAAATGCCATTCAGCAAAAGTATAAATCTAAAAGATTTACATTTGTGTAAAAATGAATTAGGTTCTTGGTCAAATAACTTTTTTTCTGGTTTGACTAATTTGAAAGTGCTAACACTCAATGATAATAAGTTGGTTGATTTACCGGAAAATATTTTTGAATCTTTAAGCAATTTAGAACAATTAGATTTGTCTAACAATAGTTTAACATTTGTCAACGTTAAATGGTTCGAGCCTCTTAAAAGTTTATTAACGTTGAATTTGTATAACAATAGTATATCGGTTCTTAATCCACAATCATTTAGTCCTTTGATTAATCTTACTTCTTTGTATCTACAAAATAATCTAATTGAGGAAATCACAGCTAGTACATTCGAGTCATTAGGAAACTTAATTGATCTTAATTTGCAAAATAATAATATTTACAATCTCAATGCTGATTCATTTAATTCCTTAATAAACTTAAATAAATTATATTTGTACGACAACAAGATTGTGGAGCTTCCAGCTAAAGTTTTTGAACCAATGATCAATTTAGAACATTTAGATTTACAAAGAAATAAAATTTCAATTTTACATACTGATTCATTTAAATCTTTGAAAAATATAACAACATTATATTTGCATGACAATCAAATTAAAGAGCTTCCAGTTAATGCTTTTAGTTCATTGGAAAGCTTAAACACACTTTACTTATATAACAACAGCCTTAAAGTTATTTACTCAAATTCATTTGGAAATTTATCAAACTTAAAAAATGTTAGATTTGATAATAATAAAATCAATGCGATCGATAGAAACTTTGTTACTAAAACTGGGGTGATTAGTCTTAATATGATTGGAAATAATTGCTCGAAAGAAAACATCTTCGATAATTCAACATATAGATACTCAATGCAGATAATTCTAAGTGAATGTTTTGAAAATTTCGATGAACATGTGACAGGTAAAGTTGCAAATTTAAATGATATTTATCGACTAAATAAAAATGATATTTTTTAAAAAAGAATCTACCACCATTCCAACAACCACGACAGTTACACATACAAGCACCCCTTCTACAACATTCTCAACAAGCATCACATTCACGACATCAACTACGACATCTTCTACGTCACAAACAACTTCGCAATCAACAGAACAAGATACAACAACCGATAATAGTACACCTCCAAAGTGCAGTGATGAAAATATTGATGAAAGGGTTTGTGAAATCGAAGACGAAATAGAGATTTTAAACAATCGAGATAAAACATTTGCATCTGCAATCGAGGAGCTTCAAAATAAAGTATTTGAACTGACTAATCGTCCTTGTGCTTGCAGTTAATTATGAGTATTTTAACTAATCGTTCATGTTTTTTTACAATAAACTTGTGAACCGTTATTGTAGTTCTTATATTTTTTCAAATTATTTTATTATCACTGTTAACCTCTATTCTTTGATAAGTTATAATACACAAAGCCATAACTTTTTAACTCTTAATTGATGGTGAAACTAACCCGAGCGGCACACAAGCGTCATATGACGGTCATATGATTGTCATATGACAGCCGTCATCGTCATAAAGACGTCATGAATGACGATCATATGATCGTCATATGATGATAAGACGTCATCACGACATCGTCTCGATTCGATTTATGACCCCATATGATGGTCATTTGACGAAAAATTCGTCACTCGACGATCAAATGAAAACGTCAATTGATGATCATATGACGATCAAATGACAAAATTACTATGGCGAGACGACGAGCATAAACCGTGATATATATGCTGAATTTTGACTGAAATAATTTTTTAAAATTTAACGAAAAACGTGTTAATTTGTGTAGAATAACTCTTAATTATATATATTTTAAATTATAAACATAGGCCATTACATTTAACATACAACATAATAATATAATGATTTAGGATTAATGATAATAACAATGGCTTGATAATAATGATAAATTAATAATGATAGAGTATTGATATTCTTGATTTTTTCACTCATTTTCTTGATTTTCCTCGTCGTTAAATCGGTTTTGATTAGTCAACTTCAATTGCTTTGCTTGATTTTCTCTTCGTCGATTTAAATAAATTTTGACGGCTGTTGAAGCATCTTCCGCTGAGCTGTAAGTTCCAGGTAAATCAGCTTAAAAACTTTTAAAAAGGATTGAATATAATTTTCCTTCTTCTCACTTCAACTTTTCGAACACAAATGAAGAAAACAAAATTTTCACCCAAACTAGTGTATCGGGTAGAAACCCAATGCGGATTATATTCACACCGTACTATCAAAGTCTTATGGATAGACCAAGATTTGCCCATCATAAGTATGAATGTATGAAGCTTGATAAGTCAACTTCGCTCAGCATAAGTTTGAAGTTATAAAGCTATCGAGTCAGCTGAGCTTCGCTTAGTATAAGTTTGAAGCTATAAAGTTTGACGAATATCCCAAACATTAGTATACTATATATTTTAAAAATCACAGTGAACTTTTGTTTTGAAAAATTCATAAGAAAGGAAAGTTTTTTGTTTTTCTGAAGCAACGGCTGTTCCTACCTTGCCTAAAAACAATACAGCTCTTGTATAGAGCAGCACGGATCAAATGTAAAAAACTAGAAGTCTCTACGATGTCTCGTTATTGAGATTTCTTGCTTGTTTGCTTGTTTGCTTGTTTGCTTGCTTACAGAAAGCGTATTTTGCGATTTTCTCAGCAATGCCACAACCAATTTGAAATCTGTTTTTTGAAAGTGATGTGAAATTCCAGGCACAAACTGTTCATCTCTGAACATTTTAAGCTATCTTGCTCCATATCCTCACAAAATTCTAAAAACTTATTTTTCAATCTGAACAAAACCAATAGATTCACACGTGAAAATGGTGTGAATTTAAAAAAATGGTAACTTTGATTACCATTGATAATTTTATGTCAAATTTTGCAATCATTTTGAAGATCATTTTGATGATAAGCATATCTATTTTTGCATTCAAAATTCGTTAGAAATCAGTGAGCATACGTTGAATGAAAGCTCATTTACAAAATCTCGAAAAAATAATTCAACAAAAAATTTTGTTCAATCTTCGAAATACCATTCAGAAAATAATTATCAGTTTATACAGTGCAAAAACAGTTTAAAGAAAAAAGTTTAAGCAAAACATACAATCGAAATTGGAAGAAAATCAAAAATTATCGCCATTCATGACTTTCATTTGATCGTCATATGATCGTCATAATATTTTAGAAAAAAAAAATCGTCGTACAATCATCATCGTCATGACGAAGACGCTCATATGACGATCATTTGATCGTCATCGTCAAATTGTGCCGCTCGGGTAATTCAAATAAACTTCATCGCTATAATATTAATTTACTTATATCTTTATTTTTATCAACCCATATCTTGGATTACCATCCATCATTTTTTATGATAAACTCAAAAATCCTGTCATATTTAGAATTCTTATTTTTCAATACCACACAAAAGATCATATAAACAGCATCAAAACACACACACAAGATGCTCATCGATTGAAAAATAATTAATTTTTTCCTTCCAAAAATCATAAATGCTTGAATTTTGGCAGCTGCGATTTTTTTCACACATACAGCAACAAAACTCTTCAATCCGTCATGGAATTGAATAGAAAGGACTCATCTATTGCCTGACTGTCATTTAATGATGCGTGGAAAATCAAAATTGGCACTCGAAATATTTTTGCTGATATTGTAACTATTTTATTATTTGAGAATCGGATGCGACTGCACATGACAGAATTAAAAACTGTTACGCAATTTCTAAGAAATAATTTTATGGAATGAAATTCAGCAAACATGAAAAAGGTTGGACTCGAAAAATGAATGCAATTTATTTGAATTTAGTGTAGCGGATTTGATGCAATTTATTGATTTTCTTAATGTGTGGTTGGTTGGAAAAGGAATTCGAGAAATTTATTAGAATTGATGCCACTCCTCCTAAGTAAATCTTGTGGAAAATTTTGAGATTTTGCTGATCGTTTGTTGATTTTAAAATTAAATAAATTTGTTTGAATTTTGAGGCTAGAACAACTTTACTACTTATTCTAAAATCCACCACACAACCCCTCTTCCAAATCAGTCACATCCCCACAAAACTATTACGAATCCATCAACAAAATGGAATCAAGTCAACAATCAATCAGTTCCACTTTCATACTCAACTTACTCATCCTCTTCATTTATTTTCCTTCTTTTTCATTTGACAAATCGACGGTAATGTATTGAGAATTATTGACATTTGAGGATATCAATATCAATATTGTTTGTTTGTACTTAATGCTTATTTCTCTTCCTCAACTTCTTTCAATTGTCATGAGCATATTTATCTTGGAATGTGATATAAATAAATTGGTTGCTGTGAATGTTTGAGTGATGGGAGCTCTTTATGTACTGTTGTGGGGCCAAGTTGTGGAGAATAAGGAAGAAGATGATGTAAGGTGTCATGTTGTCAATACAGAAACTATGTCTGAACCAAAATCACGAATTTTACTTTCTTGACATCAAGATAGATCAAACAGTCTTAAAAAGGTCTGATCAGGGGAGTTGTCAAGGAATGTTCAAATTTTGTAACTTAACCATCTGATTAAGGGCCGCTAAGGTAGTCTTAGAAACCTCATATGAATTCTGAGACCGTTTTTAAGGCTACCTTGAAAAACTTAGTCACAAAGATTAAAAATTGGAGCACTAAACTGTTGCCTGTGAATAAAACTTGGTGGTGACTATGTTGGATACCACGCAGAGCCCCAAAAACCGACTATTGTACATCATTTTTCACAGATTAGTTTTTGTCTTTGTCATTTTTGGATTAACATCAAAATCTGTAGAAAAAGCAAACTTCCAGCACTTCAACCTCAACAATTCATAATTTTTAAGCAGCATAACCTCAAAAATTAGTCTTATAACCACCCCCATTACCTTTCTCCATTTCTATCCATCCAAATTGTCATTTCATCCTTCAAGAAAACAACAACAGATACAAAATAGAATTCTAAACCAGCAGTTAATATGACTTTGACAGTTTGCAAGCCACATTCAACTTACTGATTTTTATCATCATTTATAATAAATAGAAATGTATTTAACGACATCATGAATAATTTATCTCAACAATAAAAGCAGCATAAACAGGAGGAAACAGAGAAGAGAAAAAAAAGTTAGTCAAGCATAAGGAAACGAATGTACAATAAAGTCCATTTACCACAAAAAGGTGTTACAGCACAAACTGCTTCGCAAAGAGAACGAAAAAAAATGATTTTTGATGTTGATGTTGATTACACATTTTTGCATTTTATGATGGTTTGCAGGCACAAGACAGTTCATAAAAGAACACCTGGGGTGATATAGTGATACTTAAATGGTTCGGTTCTTTCTACCGCAAAAAATAACAAGAATGTGTTATGTGCCCGAGTGGACAAAGTACTAGTTAAAAGCTTGCCATTGACTTGCCTTTTCACGGCGAGTAAGTATCCATTGACGTGCCTTTGCAACTAGACTTAGGGACGACTAATGACATATTTTGCGCTTTCCATTTAACTGGACATAGGAATTGCAAATATGTCTAGTTAATGTCCAGTTAAAAAAAAAATTGAAATAAAATAAATAACACGTGTCTTTTTCTCCATATTTTTTTCTTTTGTAAAATTTTATTATTGTATTAGTGTAATTAATTAATTAAAGTACACTATCACTTATGAAAAATCTCTAGTAAAAATTGAGTCTCGAACACTTGCGCGTGAAACAATTATATTTACTTAAAAGTTTCATACAAATTTTGGTGGAACTTATATAAGTGATTTCTGTAAGCGCTTGTGAAGTATATGGTCAAAAAAGTAAGGAAAATTATTTTTGAGTTTCGAACACTTGATTGATTAGCATGAATGTCCAGTTAAAGTCCAGTTAACGTATAGTTCTCTATATCGTATATATTTCGACAAGTTAAAAGACTGTTAAATGATTGTCCAATAATGGACTTTAACTGGCTGTGTCCACCCGGGGTGTATGTGTAAATTGCTCCGACGTACGATTTGAGTACTTTTTACCTTAGTTTTATGCACGGCTCCCTTCGATGCGATTGGAATTTTTCTGCTGTTCTCCCTCAAAGTAGATTTTTGACTAGTTATAAATAGGAAGGGAATTTTAAGAGGAACTAAAGCGCATTGACTGAAAAGGTCGTTGCTTAAGCTTTATCTCAAAATGAGTCGTTGCTTTATATTTCTTTACTCAAAAAAGTCGTTGCTTCATATTTTATCTCAAAATTAATCGTTACTTTATATTTAATCTCGAATGCTTTAGATTTTAACACAAAATGAGTCGTTGCTTCAGAATTAATTTTAAAATTAGTCATTGCTTTATATTTTGCTTCTTACTTTAGTCAAAAATGAGTCGATACTTCATTTTTTAACCAAAATGTGTTGATGTCTCATTTTT